TGTTTCGAAGAGGCATTTTCAATGTCAGCGTTGCTGGCAGTGGTGGTTTTGCTATTGAGGAAAATTGCCTTCAGATGAGGATTGTCACCCCTCTACCAAGATGTCTCAGTACCTTTTGAAAATCCCTGTTGAAGCCTGCAGGTTCATTCATTGTTTCAGGCAGTAGTTCTCTTTGGTAAAAAGCTAATTTTAAAAAGGTTGCAGAATGTACTTAAATGGATTCCTTCCTTAATTATATACGTGTGTGTGTCTTTACCATAACACGTGACCTATTGTCTCCTGGTTTTCTAACCTTAAGATAGGCCTTCAACTTTGTGGACTTACTAAAATTGTTTCTATTTGGTGATTACTAGGCTTGGTTGATCAAGGAAAAAAATGGTTCTAAACATCGTTTCGTATATAGGGGGCGCTGGCGGTTCGATTTTGAAATTATTTCCAAATTTTTCTTTAAAAAAAGATCGGAAATACCAGGAAATACGAATCGTTTCCTTTGTTTCGTTAATGTAAGGTGCCCATCCCTCCCTCCAGAACCATTAAAGTCTCGCAGTTTCCCTTCCTTCCCTTGCAGCGAGCTTCCCCAGCGACCTCCGAGGAGCGCTGTGCTTGGCCATGCCCACCTCTCCCTTCTGCTTGACGGACAGCTTGCCAGGGAAGAGAAGGAAAGGTGAGAGATTTTAAAAGTGTTAGTTTTAAAATCACTCACCTTTCCTTCTCTTCCCTGGCAAGCTGTCAGTCATGCTGAAGGGAGAGGTCGCTGGGGGCGAGGCCTCCAAGGAGGGCTGTGCTTGGCCACGCCCACCTCCTTCCTCTTTGCATCGGCGGCTTTGCGAGGTGGGCGTGGCTACGCTCAGCTCTTCCTCATCGCCGCTTGTCGCCAGGAGGTAGCCACGCCGACCTCGCAAAGCCGCCGATGCAAAGAGGAAGGAGGTGAGCGTGGGTAAGAACAGGCCACGCCCCCAGCATTTACGATTCACTGTCGGAGTCGTAAGGAAGATGGCGGACGCGGCTTCGAAATGGCGAGATCACTTCCGGGTTCTCAAATCGTGTCGATTCCACTTCTAAAGGTATTTATTTAACGAATTAATAACAAGATAAGAAATTAACAAACTGGATCAACCAAGCCTAGTGATTACGTCACGCTATAGAAAAGAACATGAAAAACGACTTTTTTTGTCGTGTCAGGAGTGACTCCTGGTGTGAGAGAATTGGCCGTCTGCAAGGACGTTGCCCAGGGGACGCCTGGATGATTTGATGTTTTTATCATCCTTGTGGGAGGCTTCTCTCATGTCCCCGCATGAGGAGCTGGAGCTGATAGAGGAAGCTCATCCGCCTCTCCCGGATTCGAACCTGCGACCTGTCGGTCTTCAGTCCTGCCAGCACAGGGCTTTAACCCACTGCGCCACCGGGGGCGCCACTGAGAACTTAATGCATGTATAAGTCTCATGGAATGCCATATAGAATTGAGCTGATCTTGCAATTGCTCATATGTAAATATGAGCTCCTTGAGGCTGTCTAGGTCTGTTTCCAATTATGCTGGGTACAAACACTAGGCACTGTTCTTTAAATGGAATTGGATCAGCAAAATGGGTGCTATGGAGCATACTAGTTTAGCCACTTCTATCCTGAAACAGATGTTTGTCTGCATAACATGCTGTCATGTCCAGCATGATATATAGTTGTCCTTCTTTTGAATTTAACAAATGTCTTCTTTGGATTTGCATCACCTCTTTTCTGCCGTTCTTCCTGTTGAAACCCAAGCACTGCTTATGGATTCTTCAAACTCTCGTACAAAAATATGTAATATTACTAGTCAGAAACGTAATTTATTGTAAATAAGATTTCATTCTGTTTATTTTGACATCTTTTTATAACTTCATGACATTATTATGTAAATAGTCACAGTGATTTTAATGAAAATTTCTCAGATTTTTATTATGTAACATTTTATTGGATGTAAACAATGTATAGATACAAACAAAATAGTATTTTATTTTAAAAATACACATTTTGTGACGTTTCATTTTTGAGTGATGTCAGTTCCTCTTCTTTTTTCCAGGAAAAAAAAACCCACAGCGTATGTGACTCCAATGTGTAGAACTGCAGTCAAAGGTTATACATTTGTAATTTTAGATAAATGTAAAATATTTCAAGTTAAGTTATAACTTTCCATGGGTTTTTACTTCTTTGCCCTCAGCCAAGGTGGGTGGATTGATCCACATAAATCAGTCATATGATTTATGTGGCATACTTTTTTTTTTGTCGTGTCAGGAGCAAGTCGCTTCTGGTGTGAGACAATTGGCCGTCTGCAAGGACATTGCCCAGGGGACGCCTGGATGATTTGATGTTTATCATCCTTGTGGGAGGCTTCTCTCATGTCCCCGCATGAGGAGCTGGAGCTGATAGAGGGCGCTCATCCGCCTCTCCCCGGATTTGAACCTGCGACCTGTTGGTCTTCAGTCCTGCTGGCACAGGGTTTAACCCACTGCGCCGCGGGGGGCTCCTGACAAATGTGGCATACTGACAAATGGAGTACGAAGTTATACATTTTGTGTCCGTCAGTACTAGTGCTGCTGTCGATCCTGCCTGTTCATGGGCCAAACTGCCTGCCAGAAATACTGGCAATTCCTCTGGATAGTTTGACGGAAGGAGGAGGTCTTATTTGACTAATTCTTGAAACACATCTCTCAGCCTGCTATAATCTCCACTGCTTAAAAAAATATTTATACAGCAGTACATGGCACTTCACAGATGAAAAGGGTGTTTCCTCCTCCTCTCCTGCAATCCATTTAGGACAGGGAAGCTTTTAAACAGAGGCTGGATGGCATCTGTCAGGAGTGATTTGAATGCAATATTCCTGCTTCTTGACGAGGTTGGACTGGATGGCTCATGAGGTCTCTTCCAACTCTTTGATTCTATGATTCTAGGGGTGTCAAACACATTTTCACCGAGGGCATGTCGGTCTTAGGGCTGCCTTCAAAAGGCCACTTGGAATTGTTGTCCAACATTGCTGTCCAACAGTCTTGGACAGCAATGGCTCCCAAGGTGGAATCAGGTGTCAAACAGGGATGTGTTATTGCCCCAACCTTATTTTCCATCTTCATCGCTCTGATACTTCATCTTGTTATGGGAAGCTTCCCACCGGAGTGGAAATCATCTATCGGACAGATGGCAAGCTTTTTAACCTCAGCAGACTGAAAGCCAAAACCAAGGTTACAACAACATCTGTTATAGAACTCCAGTATGCTGATGACAACATCTGTGCGCATTCAGAAGATCTACAAGCCACTCTAAACACCTTCGCAGAAGCATACAAGAAGCTCAGCCTGTCACTGAAGATCAAGAAAATCAAAGTGCTCTTCTAGCAGTCACCAACCAATCCCTTTCCAATGCCAGAAATACAGCTTAATGGTGTAACACTAGAAAATGTTGACCATTTCCGCTACCTTGGCAGCCACCAAGTCAACATTGACACTGAAATACAACACCGCCTGAGCTCTGCGAGTGCAGCATTTTTCTGAATGAAGCAGAGAGTGTTTGACATCTGTAGGGACACCAAGGTGCTTGTCTATAAAGCTATTGTCCTCCCAACCCTGCTATATGCCTGCGAAACGTGGACTGTCTACAGGCGTCACATGCAACTCCTGGAACGATTCCATCAGCGCTGCCTCTGGAAAATCCTGCAAATCTCTTGGGAAGACAAGCGGACAAACGTCAGCGTGCTGGAAGAAGCAAAGACCACCAGCATTGAAGCGATGGTCCTCCGCCATCAACTCCGCTGGACCGGCCACGTTGTCCGGATGCCCCACCGTCTCCCAAAGCAGTTGCTCTACTCCGAACCAAGAACGGAAAACGGAATGTTGGTGGACAGGAAAAGAAAATTAAAGATGGGCTCAAAGCCAACCTTAAAAACTCTGGCATAGACACTGAGAACTGGGAAGCCCTGGCCCTTGAGCGCTCCAGCTGGAGGTCAGCTGTGACCAGCAGTGCTGCAGAATTTGAAGAGGCACGAATGGAGGGCGAAAGAGAGAAACATGCCAAGAGGAAGGTGCGTCAAGCCAACCCCGACCGAGACCACCTTCCACCTGGAAACCAATGCCCTCACTGCGGGAGAAGATGCAGATCAAGAATAGGGCTCCACAGTCACCTACGGACCCACCAAAACACTGATCCTGGAAGACTATCCTACTTGGCCAACGAGGGATCACCTAAGTAAGTAAGTAAGTAAGTAAGTAAGTTGGTCTTAGGGCTGCCTTCAAAAGGCTACTTGGAATTGTAAGTAATTATGTTGTCCTGGCTTTTGATAACTTGGGCCACTTGAAATGCCACGAAGGGCTAGGTTTGGACTGCAGGTCTTGTGTTTGACACATATGATTTAGGGTATGAGGGTAGGGTAAGGGGGTGGCTCAAGTTATGTGGCTGAAGGCAGTGCAAGGTATTTGAAAGAAGATCGATGCAAGTGTGAGAGGGAAGGATGCCCATGCAACTGAAGGGGGAACATGTCATTCTCAAGGTAGGCTTGCATAAGGTTGGATGGAGATGCTGAGAGTTTCTGGTATCAATATAAACTGAATCAGAGTAATTTGTACACATAATAAAATATTCACATTTTGAATTACATAGACAAGTTCTAATGGGTTGGTAACACTAAGAACATTGCTTTCTCAGACAGATAAATGTCAAAAAACGGTTGTATTTTGCAGCAGGAGTTGCAAAACAGTATTTGTACAAATTCATGAGGCGTGTGTCCTATGGAATGTGTGCATTCAAATGCATAAAAGTTGATACGAACACTTCCTTTAAATATCTGCAGAGCCATAATATCTGATTGTGAAGTGAATGCAGAATTTCTGTACCTGATATTTTTAGATTAATGTCCTTTTTTCCAGGTACGTGACCTTTGTCGTTTGGCCTCAGGAGTAACTGGCTTTTATCAACACGAGGAATTCCTTTTAATGGTTTGTCTGACACCATTTCAAATGATCAATAAAAACCTATATTAATAACAGCGAAACACACTTTTATTCAGAAAGACACACAGTGCCTTGCTACTCACACTCTGGTGTTTAAACAATAAAGCAGTCGGGAATGAAGCAGTGTTACACTTCAGATCCCCTCTCCAATCTTTGGATTCACAAGAGGTCACCAATAGCAACATGCAAGAGATTCTGGTAATGATTAAATGACATCATAACACTGCAATATTTTCATTACCTCAGCTTTTGAGTGGAGAACCAATCCTTATCAAAGAGAATAATTTAGTGCAAATTCACCTTATTTTATCTATTTAGGTTAGAATTCCTGATCACAGTTACAAATGCTTAATCTATGCGGCCATAATATTATACTATCTCTACTTATTCATGGTGATAGTGCAGGGTATATGTAACAATTCTCCAGTCAGTTCCCCAGTCCTGCCTAACAAGTCATCAGACACTGGGAGCAATGTCAGCATGCTTTCCTGTCATCTTTTCCACACCTACCCAGCAGGACACTCTGGTGCAACGTTCAACTGTGACATCTGCACTGGAGATTGTTAGGATGGGGATGGATGGAGATGGAAATGTCTGTCTGCTGGGTCCCTAGTAACAGACTAGAGAGATATTGACAAGCTGGAATGTGTCCAGAAGAGGGTGACTAAAACGATCAGGGGTCTGGAGAACAAGCCCTATGAGGAGCGGCTTAAAGAGCTGGGCATGTTTAGCCTGAAGAATAGAAGGCTGAGAGGAGATATGATAGCCATGTATAAATATGTGAAAGGAAGCCACAGGGAGGAGCTTGTTTTCTGCTTCCTTGGAGACTAGGACGCAGAACAATGGCTTCAAACTACAAGAGAGGAGATTCCATCTGAACACGATGAAGAACTTCCTGACTGTGAGAGCCGTTCAGCAGTGGAACTCTCTGACCCGGAGTGTGGTGGAGGCTCCTTCTTTGGAAGCTTTTAAACAGAGGCTGGATGGCCATCTGTCGGGGGTGCTTTGAATGCAATATTCCTGCTTCTTGGCAGGGGGTTGGAATGGATGGCCCATGAGGTCTCTTTCAACTCTTTGATTCTATGATTCTGTGTGTGATGTTTGGCAATATAAAGTAATGACGATTAATTAAGATGCTGTACAAATAAAGTACCTGGAAGAAAATCCACAAACGGAGAACCAAGTAGGATAAACTTTATCCCTTGAATGAATTCTTGGAAATAGTTCGAGATGATCGGCAAACACCCAAAAGGTTCAGATTATTTCTTCTGTGCTCTATATTAATCGTTTGGCAAACAACCTGATCCAGTTAGTGTTGGGATTTGTTTTGCTCTCTTCAAGTAATAGTTTCTTTCCAATGCACTTGGGATGCTGTGCTCCAACTAACAACACAATGTATGTCAGTGGCAGCATCAAAATAAAACATGCTATGGTTCAGAAGACAGGAATCTTGTCTCTCCGCACAGAATCCAAGTCGTCATCCAAAGTGAGCAGGACCTGGAGGAAAAATAGAAAATAATAATAATAATAAACCTTTATTTATACCCCACTAACATCTTCCGAAGGACTCGGTGCGGCTTACAAGAGGCCGAGGCCCAACACATCAATAAAACAACAGCATAACAAATACAACAATAAATAAACTCATAAAACAAGCAATATACATTAAAACAATAGCAACATTAGACAATAACACCATGACACATTTAAAACTAAGGCCGGGCCAATGTAATAATTAAAAATTTTAAAATGCTGGGCATGACAGGTGAAATGCATAGGTTTTTGGAGATGGGTGCGGTGTGCAGACAATCTTAAATCTCTAATAAAGTGCATTTGAGACATGATGCTTGGAGTTTCCTATTCTGGGAAGGCACACTGGAACAACCACGTCTTCAAGCTCTTCCTAAAGACTGCCAATGTTGGGGCTTGTCTGATGTCCTTGGGGAGAGAGTTCCAGAGTCGGGGGGCCACTAAGGAGAAGGCCCTGTCCCTAGTCCCCACCAATCGCGCTTGTGACGCAGGTGGGATCGTGAGCAGGGCCTCTCCAGATGATCGGAGAGATCGTGTGGGTTCATATACGGAGATGCGGTCACACTGCACCACTTCTTTTTAAAGACTCCTTCTCCAGAAAAATAAAACAGAAGATAACTTTGGCCCTATCCCATTTTTGCATTCAAGCTTGTCTTTCACACAATTTGGGGGAAAGCTCCCCAAAAAGATTTTCTCTACTCTGCTTCTTTTTTTGACAAGTCATTTCTCTTAGAGCTGCTTTTGCAATCTTGGCCATTTTATGTAGCCATTCTCTATTAAACTGCTAGAGAGCCAGACTCTGTTTTTGTTAGTCTCATGATTTGGCCTGCTTGATCTCCACCCCGCACCATTTGTTTCTCATCGTGACCTTTCAGAACAACTAGTTAGGAAATAATGTATACTTTGGCATCAAGTGAGTAGGGGAACCCAGGAGAACTTTAACTGGCACAGAAGGAACTGGCCATGGATGCAATGAGTACCATAGGCCAACCAGGAAGCAGCCACTGGCATCCCTTAAAACGTCTTTTTATTCCGCTCTTCTTTACCTCTTCCACAATTCTCCGAATTAGAAGTTCCCTAACTCAACGTTTCCAATTCCCCTATGAACTGACATCAGCAAACTCCTGTCTGTTTCACCTACACATGACACCTTGCAGCTAGCATCTAAGCCAGAAGTCACACCCCTTTTTATGTTAACTGGTTTCACCATATTAAATTCTCATTCATGGATTTTCACTGTGTATATTTAATTCTGTGCATTGTGCATGCATTTATCATCAGATTGGGTTGCTCTTGAATTTTTCAGGCTCAGGCTGTATTGCCATGTTTCAGCAGCATTCTCTCCTAATGTTTCGTCTGCATCTGTGGCTGGCATCACAGCAACCCAGTGATTCTGGCCATGAAAGTCTTTGACAATAAATCATAGAATCATAGAATCAAAGAGTTGGAAGAGACCTCATGGGTCATCCAGTCCAACCCCCTGCCAAGAAGCAGGAATATTGCATTCAAACACCCCTGACAAATGGCCATCAAGCCTCTGCTTAAAAGCTTCCAAAGAAGGAGCCTCCACCACACTCCGGGGCAGAGAGTTCCACTGCTGAACGGCTCTCACAGTCAGGAAGTTCTTCCTAATGTTCAGATGGAATCTCTCTTGTAGTTTGAAGCCATTGTTCCGCGTCCTAGTCTCCAAGGAAGCAGAAAACAAGCTTGCTCCCTCCTCCCTGTGGCTTCCTCTCACATATTTATACATGGCTATCATATCTCCTCTCAGCCTTCTCGTCTTCAGGCTAAACATGCCCAGCTCCTTAAGCCGCTCCTCATAGGGCTTGTTCTCCAGACCCTTGATCATTTTAGTCGCCCTCCTCTGGACACATTCCAGCTTGTCAATATCTCTCTTGAATTGTGGTGCCCAGAATTGGACACAATATTCCAGGTGTGGTCTAACCAAAGCAGAATAGAGGGGTAGCATTACTTCCCTAGATCTAGACACTATGCTCCTATTGATGCAGGCCAAAATCCCATTGGCTTTTTTGGCCGCCACATCACATTGTTGGCTCATGTTTAACTTGTTGTCCACGAGGACTCCAAGATCTTTTTCACACGTACTGCTCTCGAGCCAGGCATTGTCCCCCATTCTGTATCTTTGCATTTCATTTTTCCTGCCAAAGTGGAGTATCTTGCATTTGTCACCGTTGAACTTCATTTTGTTAGTTTTGGCCCATCTCTCTAATCTGTCAAGATCGTTTTGAATCCTGCTCCTGTCCTCTGGAGTATTGGCTATCCCTCCCAATTTGGTGTCGTCTGCAAACTTGATGATCATGCCTTCTAGCCCTTCATCTAAGTCATTAATAAAGATGTTGAACAGGACCGGGCCCAGGACAGAACCCTGCGACACTCCACTTGTCACTTCTTTCCAAGATGAAGAGGAAGCATTGTGAGCACCCTCTGGGTTCGTCCACTTAACCAATTACAGATCCACCTCACCGTAGTTTTGCCTAGCCCACATTGGACTAGTTGCCTTGCCAGAAGGTCATGGGGGACCTTGTCGAAGGCCTTACTGAAATCCAGGTACGCTACATCCACGGCATTCCCCGCATCTACCCAGCTTGTAACTCTATCGAAAAGAGATCAGATTAGTCTGGCATGACTTGTTTTTGATAAACCCATGTTGACTATTAGCGATGACTGCATTTGTTTCTAAGTGTTTGCAGACCGCTTCCTTAACAATCTTTTCCAGAATCTTGCCCGGTATCGACGTGAGGCTGACCGGACGGTAGTTGTTTGGGTCATCCTTTTTTCCCTTCTGGAAGATTGGGACCACATTGGCCCTCCTCCAATCTGCTGGAACTTCTCCCGTTCTCCAAGAACTCAAAGATGATTGCCAATGGTTCTGAAATGACTTCCGCTAGTTCCTTCAATACTCTGGGGTGTAGTTGATCTGGCCCTGGGACTTGAACTCATTAAGAGCGGCCAGGTATTCCTGGACGACTTCTTTCCCAATTTGGGGTTGGATGTCCTCCAATCCCTCATCCACTCCATCTTGCTGAGGTTGAAGACTCTCTTTTTGTGAGAAGACCGAGGCAAAGAAGGCATTAAGTAGTTCTGCCTTTTCCCTATCCCCTGTCAGCATTGCCCCATCTTCTCTCTATCCCCTAAATATCATTTATTTATTATTTATTTAAAGCATTTATATTCCGCCCTTCACACCCCGAAGGGTAGGATAATGCACAACATATAAATGGCAAACATTCAATGCTGAAACATATTATACCATACACATACAAAAGCATTAAAATCTCGACGTTAAAATCCATTAGTTAAAACTGTCTCAACCACCATATTGAGTTTGGTTGTCATTTTTTTTTTGTATCAGGAGCAACTTGAGAAACTGCAAGTTGCTTCTGGTGTGAGAGAATTGGCCGTCTGCAAGGACGTTGCCCAGGGAACGCCCAGATGATTTGATGTTTTTATCATCCTTGTGGGAGGCTTCTCTCATGTCCCCACATGAGGAGCTGAAGCTGATAGAGGGAGCTCATCCACCTCTCCCCAGATTCGATCCTGCGACCTGTCGGTCTTCAGTCTTACCGGCACAGGGATTTAACCCACTGCGCCACCGGAGGCTCATAGGCATGTGTTAATCAATTGTTTTAATTATTGATTTAATATTTTAAATATTTTATTGTTAGTTATTTTTATTATGATCACACTGTATGGTGTTTGTGAGGTCGCCTTGAGTCCCCCCTCGGGGGAAAGAAGGACAGGGTATAAATATAGGAAATAAATACAAATAAATAAATTATTCTGCAAGGTCTGCCTTAGGCTATGATTTATGCTTAGATATGTTTTCCATTACACATTTATGGAAGCAAAATAAGCCTTTGTATATTGTATAGAAATAGACAGCGTGCTATGACATGCAACCAGAAGAAATCTATCTGGCACCATTTTGCTGGGAGACAATAAGGAGCAACTCACCAAGAAGGAGAAGAACAGGGCAGCCGCTGAGAGGAAATGCCAGACGTCATGGTCATCGAAGAATCCCAGAAGGAGACAGGGACGGTTTTTCTCTCGGGATTCTGCTGGGGTTTCCTTAAGAAAAGAGGAGGTCAGTCATTTCCATCTGTCTCCTACAAATTCTGAACCTGTATAGATGACTGAAACACAATGGTACTATATGTGTGCCTCAGAAACAAAATGCACCAAAAGCAAAGTTGGGGTGTTTTTTTCTTCAATTAATTTACATCAGTGTTTTTCAAACTTTGGCTCTCCAGGTGTTCAAACTTTGGCTCTCCAGCTCCCAGAAATCCCAGCCAGCTTATCAGATGTTAGGAATTATGGGAGCTGAAGTCTAAAATATGTGGAGGAGTTTGAGAAACTGATTTACATTAAATATTCACCACAAATTAAAAAAACCCCACAGGCACTAAAATAAGAAACGAATGCAAGAATCCAATAAAAAAGTAACCCCACAATACTCCACTCCCTTACCCCCCATCCCTGCCAACTAAAATTACATATACCTCTTGCTCTAATTAACTGAATTTCAGCTTCTGCTAAATATACATCAATATACCATATTTCATTGAATCTAAGGCACATCAAATGTAAGGCACTGTAAGACTGTAGGATCTATATAGCAATATTAAATAACCACTCACAAGCCGTTTTTGCTTGTATCTCTGCAGCAAAGAAAGACACTACTGACTTTTTCCCAATACCACTTCCTTTTATACACCTTTCCTGCCCATCTCCCCCTCTTCTCAGTCCTTATTACAGTGTTTCTCAACCTGGGCGTCGGGACCCCTGAGGGGTCGCGAAGGGGTGTCAGAGGGGTCGCCAAAGACCATCAGAAAACACAGTATTTTCTGTTGGTCATGGGGGTTCTGTGTGGGAAGTTTGGCCCAATTCTATCATTGGTGGGATTCAGAACGCTCCTTGATTGTAGGTGAACTATAAATCCCAGTATCTACAACTCCCAAATGTCAAAGTCTATTTTCCCCAAACCCCATCAGTGTTCACATTTGGGCATATTGAGTATCCATGCAAAGTTTGGTCCAGATCCATCATTGTTTGAGCCCACAATGCTCTCTGGATGTAGGCGAACTACAACTCCCAAACTCAAGGTCAATGCCCACCAAACCCTTCCAGTATTTTCTGTTGATCATGGGAGTTCTCTGTACCAACTTTGGTTCAATTCCATTGTTGGTGGGATTCAGAATGCTCTTTGTTTACATGTTAACTATAAATTCCAGCAACTACAACTCCCAAATGACTGGAGCAAATTTCCCCGCCAACCCCACCAGTATTCAAATTTGGGCATACCGGGTATTTGTTTCAAATTTGCTCCAGTGAATGAAAATACATCCTGCAGATCATTATTTACACGGCGATTCATCATTATTTACACGGCGATTCATAATGTTAGGGTTAGGGTTGGGGGTCACCACAACATGAGGAACTGTATTCAGGGGTCGCGGCATTAGGAAGGTTGAGAACCACTGCCTTATTAGAACTTGTTGCGTCACAAGTTCCAATACAAGACTTCCAGGTTTCAAAATGTCACAGAGAGAGAATTGATTCAGCCTGGATGATTCAGTCAGGATGTCACGGAGGGAACTTGTGATGTCTTCATGCCATCAGAAATTGACTCCTGACAGGCGCGCACACATTTTAAGCTGTAATTTTAGCAGGAAAATTCTTATATATATCTTTTATAATTTCTAAAGATTAATACTGTAAATAAAATAAAATGCTAAACAAATCTAACCAATATTTTTATCAGAACAGAATTCAATTTACTAACAACAATACAGAAACACATTAAATTACAAAATTGGAACAGGTACGCCATTCTATTAATTTCTTGCTTCTGAATCCGCATCAGTCCAGTTCATCAGAAACTGAGTCTTCTGAGCCATCTTTATATCATGATCCCATAGCATACCACTTTCTGAGTCATCAAGAGCATTTGCGATGCAATATTTTTTAAAGAAATGCTGTACTATGTATTGTTGAAGGCTGTACTATTCTTTCTGGGATTATCTTCCAAGGTGTTGATGCACATGCAAATGTGAATAGATCACATCAGCGTGTAGATAAACAGTGCTCCATGCAGTCATGCCGGCCACATGACCTAGGATCTGTCTACGGACAACTGCAGGCTCTTCAGCTTAGAAATGGAGAAGAGCACCAGCCCCCAGAGCTGGAAGGGGAAGTGTTTACCTTTCATAGAATCACAGAATCATAGAGTTGGAAGAGACCTCATGGGCCATCCAGTCCAACCCCCTGCCAAGAAGCAGGAATTTTGCATTCAAAGCACCCCCAACAGATGGCCATCCAACCTCTGTTTAAAAGCTTCCAAAGAAGGAGCCTCCACCACACTCCAGGGCAGAGAGTTCCACTGCTGAACGGCTCTCACAGTCAGAAAGTTCTTCCTCATGTTCAGATGGAATCTCCTTTCTTGTAGTTTGAAGCCATTGTTCCAAGTCCTAGTCCCCAGGGAAGCAGAAAACAAGTTTGCTCCCTCCTCCCTATGACTTCCTCTCATATTTATACATGGCCCTCATCATGTCTCCTCTCAGCCTTCTCTTCTTCAGGCTAAACATGCCCAGCTCTTTAAGTCGCTCCTCATAGGGCTTGTTCTCCAGATCCTTGATCATTTTAGTTGCCCTCCTCTGGACACATTCCAGCTTGTCAATATCTCCCTTCAGTTGTGGTGCCCAGAATTGGACACAATATTCCAGGTGTGGTCTAACCAAAGCAGAATAGAGGGGTAGCATGACTTCCCTAGATCTGGATGCTATGCTCCTATTGATGCAGGCCGAAATCCCATTGGCTTTTTTGCCGCTGCATCACATTGTTGGCTCATGTTTAACTTGTTGTCCACGAGGACTCCAAGATCTTTTTCACACCTACTGCTCTCAACCCAGGCATTGTCCCCCATTCTGTATCTTTGCACTTCATTTTTCCTGCCAAAGTGGAGTATCTTGCATTTGTCACTGTTGAACTTCATTTTGTTAATTTTGGCCAATCTAATCTGTCTAGATCATTTTGAATCCTGCTCCTGTCCTCTGGAGTATTGGCTATCCCTCCCAATTTGGTGTCGTCTGCAAACTTGATGATCCTGCCTTCTAGCCCTTCATCTAAGTCATTAATAAAGATCCTGAACAGGACCGGGCCCAGGACGGGACCCTGCTTGTGGCACTCCGCTTGTCGCTTCTTTCCAGGATGAAGAGGAAGCATTGGGGAGAATCACCCTCTGGGTTCGTCCATTTAACCAATTACTGATACACCTCACCGTAGTTTTGCCTAGCCCACATTGGACTAGTTTGTTGCCAGAAGGTCATGGGGGACCTTGTCGAAGGCCTTATTGAAGTCCAGGTATGCTACATCCATGATTCCCCAACACAGTTTTAAAGCCAACAGAGGTTTGATTCTAGAATTGTTTATGATATGTAAGTGATCCAGAGACCCACAGAATCATCATTTGGGACTCATCCCAAAAGAAATGTAGAATAAAAGCTATATACACACAGACATATATGAAATATGTTCAGGAGCAATAGAAGAAGAAAGGGGCCAAAAGGGGGAGGATGCAGGAAACTTACCTCCCAGCTACTCAGGTTTTGGAAGAAGAAATAAAGTGCAGCAGCCCAAACCACAGCAGTGGCCACAATGCAGAACAGAGGAAGCGGCAGGAGCCTTTCCGAGCTGCGGAGCTGGAAAAACAAAACATTTAAATAATCTCCCCCGAGAAATGACATTTGCATAGGAACCAGGAGTCCTCAAACTTTTTAAACAGAGGGCCGAGTCACAGTTTCTCAAACTGCTGGAGGGCCAGATTATAATTTGGAAAAAAAAATGAATGAATTCCTATGCACACTGCACATATCTTATTTGTAGTGCAAAAATACTTTAAAACAATACAATAATTAAAATGAAGAACAATTTTAGCAAATATAAACTTACTAGTATTTCAGTGGGAAGTGTGGGCCTGCTTTTGGCTGATAAAATAGGATCGTTGTTGCTGTTGTGTGCTTTCAAGTCATTTCAGACGTATGTTGACCCTGAGCGAGGCTGGGTAAATGATCTTGGAGGGCCGTATCCGGCCCCTGGGCCTTAGTTTGAGGACCCCTGATTTATACCCTGCCTTTCTCCCTGTGGGGACTCAAAGCGGCTAACAATCCCACACTAGACAATTTTTTAAAAGTGCAATACAAAAGTTAAAGCTTGAAAAACAATTAAATAGTAACCGTGTGGTAAAAACAGAATTTAAATACAATAAATACACTTAAAATGGCCTTTGAAACTTATAGAAAGGAAGTTGCACAGTTCTGAGAAAAACTGAATGAAATTCTTGAAAAAGTGCAGTTATTAAATGCGACTTTGAATAACATCCAGAAAAGGCACCTCCACCATGCTGCAAGGCGTTCAGCTGCCAAACAGCTCTTATCATCAGGAAATTCACTAATGTTTAGGTGGAATTATTTTCCTATAATTTTCCTGCCCACCAACATTTCGTTTTCTTGAGTTCGGAGTACAGTAACTGCTTTGGGAGACGGTGGTTGGGAATTCGGACAACGTGGTCAGTCCTGCGGAGTTGATGGTGGAGGACCATTGCTTCAATGCTGGTGGTCTTTGCTTCTTCCAGCACACTGACATTTGTCCATTTGTCTTCCCAAGAGATTTGCAGGATTTTTCAGTGGCAACACTGATGGAATCGTTCCAGGAGTTTCATGTGACGTCTGTAGACTGTTCACGTCTTGCAGGCATATAGCAGGGTTGGGAGGACAATAGCTTTATAAACGAGCACCTTGGTATCCCTACAGATGTCCCGATCATCAAACACTCTCTGCTTCATTTGGAAAAATGCTGCACTCGCAGAGCTCAGGCGGTGTTGTATTTCAGTGTCAATGTTGACTTTGGTGGAGAGGTGGCTGCCAAGGTAGTGGAAATGGTCAACATTTTCTAATATTACACCATTAAGCTGTATTTCTGGCATTGGAAATGGATTGGCTGGTGACTGCTGGAAGAGCACTTTGGCTTTCCTGATGTTCAGTGACAGGCCGAGCTTCTCGTATGCTTCTGCAAAGGTGTTTAGAGTAACTTGTAGGTCTTCTTCTGAATGTGCACAGACAACATTGTAAAGTACCCCTTTACATAACAGCAAAACAGAACTGAAAAGTATTCAGCAGTTCTCTCTTGTTGAAGGTCTCACAGCACCCTGGAGTTCCAGCTATGGGAAAGGAGTCCTTGTGTAACCATGTTGGAACAAGTTGGGCAGAACTCTAAGAAGGACTTGTAACAAAATCCATTTTTCTAACCCACATTTGAAGAGAAGTGAGTTGCAAGCATTACTTACCTTCATGATAACATAAAAGGCAAGATACAGCAGAAGATTACAGATGAAGATGCCAAGCAAGTAGGAGGCAAAGTCCTTTGGTCGATACACCAATCCAAAAATGGCACTGAAAAAGGGGAAAGACAAAATATATTTTGCAATTCAAGATACACACACAGAATCATGATCTGCTTATCTTGATTTATTTGTGTAACAAAAAAAAACCTATTAAACTTTGTATTTTGTAGGGAACAAAAGCAAACTTTTAATTATGGACATTACAAAACATTTTATTTCATCTACTTATACCCCGCCCTTCTCACCCCGGGGGGGACTCAGGGCGGCTTACAAAGGAGGCACAATTAGATGCCCAAATCACACAACAAACAATACAAAATATAACAGTTCAACAATTAAAATGAAACATCAATACCTATTAAAATCATAAAAACTATCTCATGTCAGAGTCCATATATCAGAGTCCATATATCCATTCCATTCCATTGTCCTTGTCTATCGATAGGTCCTTTAATCAGTTGTCAGCATGGCCAAAAGCTTGGTCCCACATCCAGGTCTTTAGTTTTTTCCTAAACGCTAGAAGGGAAGTCGTCGATCTGATCTCCCCGGGGAGTGAGTTCCACAGGTGGGGGGCCACCACTGAGAAGGCCCTGCTCCTCGTCCCCGCCAGTCTCACTTGTGCCACTGGCGGGGTCGAGAGCAGGGCCTCCCCAGAAGATCTTAAACTTCGAGGTGGGATGTAGAGGGAGATCCGTTCGGACAGATACACTGGGCCGGAACCGTATAGGGTTTTGTAGGTCAAAACCAGCACTTTGAATTGTGCTCGGAATTGGATCGGCAGCCAGTGGAGCTGATGCAACAGGGGGGTGGTGTGCTCCCTGTACGCCGCTCCGGTGAGCAATCTGGCTGCTTCTCGCTGGACTAGTTGAAGTTTCCGAGCAGTCTTCAAAGGCAACCCCACGTAGAGTGCGTTGCAGTAATCCAACCGGGATGTGACAAGAGCGTGGACCACCGTGGCCAGATCTGACTTCCCAAGGTACATCCGATTGAAAGGCACTTTAGGGCACATCCAGGACTGGCTGAAAAGTCACAAGTTTCGTTCCTGTTCTTTGTGATTTTTTACTGGGTCAAAATTAACCTGTATAGCTGATATTAAAAAAATCTCTGATCACATTGGTAGGTGACAGATAATATGCTGATAAACCTTTTACGGACGTTTTGCAAAAAAAAAAAAAAAAGGTGACCTGAGTTTGAAAATTAGTAAGATGATGTTATCTGATATAGTTTTAGGGAGAGGGCTATGATTATATCACGTGTATGTGTAAAAAGAAGTCAGAAACCAGACTTCCAACATCGTTCAGGTTGGTCTGAATATGAAGCACAAGTCTCAAGGGTAAAAAACCTCAGAACTGGTGCTGAGAGGTAATTTAAATCAGGATCTTTTAGAGTCAAGTCTCTTACTCACGTCCATCAGGTAGAAACTCTGATGGCAATTCCTAACAGCACACCGGCCATAGCAGGAAAGTACTGGATATACAGGTTGAGAACCACTGCTCTACATCTTTCCCCCTTCCTTCGCTCCCTCTTTCCCTTTTTTCTTTCCTTCTCTCCTTCCTTCCTTCTCTAACTTTCCTTCCTTCCCCCTTTTTCTTTCCCTCCCTCTTTCTCTCCTTTCTTCCTTCTCTATCTCTTTCCTTCCTTCTCTCTTTCCTTCCATGCTTCCTTCTCTCTTTCCTTCCCTCTTTCTTTCTTCCTTTCTTTTTTTTCTTCCTTCCCTCCTCTTTCTTCCTTTTTTCTGTATTGTCATCATTTAGCTTTCTGGGGCTTTTTAAGTCCCTTCTGCTGTGTTTTTCAGTGTTTTTATGAGTGAAGGACATACATTGGGTTGTTGGATGTCTTGTGTCCAAATTTGGTGTCAATTCCCCCAGTGGTTTTTGAGTTCTGTTAATCCTACTTTTTTTTTTTTTTTTCTTTGCTTTTTTTTTTTTTTTTTTTTTTTTTTTTTTTTTTTTTTTTTTTTTTTTTTTTTTTTTTTTTTTTTTTTTTTTTTTTTTTTTTGTTTTTTTTTTTTTTTTTTTTTTTTTTTTTTTTTTTTTTTTTTTTTTTTTTTTTTTTTGTTTTGAGTTCTGTTAATCCCACAAACGAACATTACATTTTTATTTATATAGATTAATAAACATTTAACCTACTGATGCTTCAATTAATATAATTTTATTGGTATCTATTTTTATTTTGAAATTGACCAGTAGCTGCTGCATTTTCCACCCTTGGCTTATACTCGAATCATTACGTTTTCTCAGTTTTTAGTGGTAAAATTAGGTGCATCGGCTTATACTCGAGTATATATGTTAGTTTGCTTTTTTTTCCTAACCATGTAGCCACCCTGCAAGTTCCCATGCTTGGTTCCCAATGTAGAATTCCTTTTGCAAATCCCAATAGTTCTCCAAGTGGCGGGAGTCTGTTTTGATCACTGGTAGCTTTTGACCAGTCAGATAAAAATAGAAGAGTATTCTCTGTTTGTTCTCATTGTAGGGTCTGGGACAGTGGCTGCCTCTCATCCCATCGCTGCCAGCACTCCAGAAGGAAGCACTTATGGAGCTATTGGTACAGAAACCCTGGAATCCATAGATATTGTTGACTGTTCAGATGTCAGATGTGCTATGTAACAGCTTTTGAAAGCTAGTGTCAAATGTACAGCAGCAAGGAAGGATATGTAATAAGGTGCAAAACAGGAAACAGCATATACTCTGGGTTACACAGAAAAAGCATTGATTGCATGGGATGGAAGACTGGTAGAGGGGTGGATGGATGGTGGGAGAAAAAGACTTCAGTTTGGAGTGATGCTTATTCAGAAACCTTTTACTACTGCCATTTTTTATGACCCCAATATTGAGCCAAAGGGACCCCATTTGGGGTCAGTGTCCACAGTTTAAGAAGCTGTGATATAATGAACCTTCCCATTTGTAGGAAAGAGCAGTGTAGAAAACGTAATTTCTAAGATGAAAAAAAGGGTAAGGAATCTAACAGTTAAAAGTAGTGCTTGGCTTTCATCAGCAAGAAACACATAAAGGCAGTTGGAGCAGAAGATAGAATCATAGAATCAAAGAGTTGGAAGAGACCTCATGGGCCATCCAGTCCAACCGCCTGCCAAGAAGCAGGAATATTGCCTCAAAGCACCCCTGACAGATGGCCATCCAGCCTCTGTTAAAAGCTTCCAAAGAAGGAGCCTCCACCACTCCGGGCAGAGAGTTCCACTGCTGAACAGCTCTCACAGTCAGGAAGTTCTTCCATGTTCAGATGGAATCCTTTCTTGTAGTTTGAAGCCATTGCGTGTCCTAGTCTCCAGGGAAGCAGAAAACAAGCTTGCTCCCTTCTCCCTGTGGCTTCCTCTCACATATTTATACATGGCTATCATATCTCCTCTCAGCCTTCTCTTCTTCAGGCTAAACATGCCCAGCTCCTTAAGCTGCTCCTCATAGGGCTTGTTCTCCAGACCCTTGATCATTTTAGTCGCCCTCCTCTGGACACATTCCAGCTTGTCAATATCTCTCTTGAACTGTGGTGCCCAGAATTGGACACAATATTCCAGGTGTGGTCTAACCAAAGCAGAATAGAGGGGTAGCATTACTTCCTTAGATCTAGACACTATGCTCCTATTGATGCAGGCCAAAATCCCATTGGCTTTTTTTGCCCCCACATCACATTGTTGGCTCATGTTTAACTTGCTGTCCACAAGGACTCCAAGATCTATTTCACACGTACTGCTCTCGAGCCAGGCATGTCCCCCATTCTGTATCTTTGCATTTCGTTTTTTCTGCCAAAGTGGAGTATCTTGCATTTGTCCCTGTTGAACTTTATTTTGTTAGTTTTGGCCCATCTCTCTAATCTATCAGGATCATTTTGAATTCTGCTCCTGTCCTCTGGAGTATTGGCTATCCCTCCCAATTTGGTGTTGTCTGCAAACTTGATGATCATGCCTTCTAATTTGTAAGTTTCACTGTATTTGAACAACTCTTAAAAATGATACTAAGGAAAGGGAGACCTTGTAAATGGATTGAGCCTAAACAAGCTGAAGGCACCCGATCCCCTCTGATCTTGACAGTGAAGCAGAGTAAGCACTTGCATGGGGAACAACCAAGGAAAATTAAGAGTGTCACAAATCAACACAGAATCATAGCATCATAGAGTTGGAAGAGACCTCATGGGCTATCCAGTCCAACCCCCTGCCAAGAAGCAGGAAAATTGCATTCAAAGCACCCCCAACAGATGGCCATCCAGCGTCTGTTTAAAAGCTTCCAAAGATGGAGCCTCCACCACACTCCGGGGCAAATTCTGACTGCAAACACATCCATATCAAATACACATATGTTTGCTACTTACAAGGACCAGTTCACCAGGTTCCCAACAACAAGCAGTACCATTCTGTCCTACAGGGAAGCAACAAACAGAAGCGTGTGTTAAAAATTGCCGTCACTGTAATCACAACCATTGCAACTGCAGCACATATATCTAAGATATGATCCAACTAGATTTAACTATTTAAGTCTCATCTGAATATTAACTTTCAATGTTTTTCAGTCAGGACATAAGTACATGCTTAACTCTGGGACATAAAAATGCATAAATGCAAATAAGATTTTGAAATGTACATATCCACAGATTCTGCATCCTTTGATCTTTGGCTTGAGAATATTCAAAATAAATGCAAAAGCAAACTTTAATTGTGCTATTTTATATACTTTGTATAAGATTGTACTTAAGCATCCATGGATATACCAAGGATTCAGTATGTGTGTGTGTGTATGTGAATTGGAATTCACTGACATATTTTATATCATTATTATATATTAACTGCCTGTGGTGAAGTGTAATTTTTTAACTTGCAGTTATGTATAATTACAGATAGATGTTTTGAAGGGTAAGTATTTAAAGTTGTATAACTAAGGGGGATGGTAGCCAACTCAGCTCATGTTGAGCTGGGTTACCATGGAAACGGGCAGAGCCAACTGTCACTTGGCAGGGCAGCCATTTTAAAACAGTTAGTCTGTAGTCAGCGAACTACAGGAGAGGCTGGTTCTAGTGTGTGTTGAGAACCAGTAAGTTAGTCTACAGTCTGTGAACTGTAGGAGTGGTTGATTGTATAGTAGTAAGAATCAGGAAGGTTTTGGCTTTTAGCCTGAATAGTTTAAATAAGTCGAGTTGACTTATTTATATTAATAGTTCGTGTATGAGAGAAAAGGTGAGAGAAACGCAGTGAGAATCTCTATTGCAACAAAAACATCACAAAGAAAGAATAAGCTTGTAACCGAAGTAATCTATTAAGGAAAGAAACACAGTTTGAAGAAAAATAAGTTTGAAACCTGTTTAGTGGAAGGAAGAGTCCTTTCCAGAGTTGTTTAAGGAATGTTATAAATGTAACCTTTGAAGATATGTGCCTCTAAGAGTAAGAAACATTGAAATCATCACACTCCTTCTACATTTCAATAAACTTGTTACCGTTTTTTCTAAAGCCCTGTCTCTGTTACAATTCCTTTCCAAGTTAAGTCACGCTACACATAAAGAAAGACCAAGTCAATATCACTAGCTATTAGCTATTAGCTACGCTATCAAATTAATAAACCCTTACAAAGCGGTGGTTCCTTTACAAACTCTTTACAAATTAGTGTCATCGTTACAAATTGGTGAAATCTTCACACTGCCCTTCTAAAATGTTTATAATTAATATTTTCATATGATTGTTTAATTGCTTTCAACTTTGTTTTAAGTCAAACTGCAAGCCATCTTAGGTCCCATACTGAAAGAAAGAAAAAGAAAAGGAAGAGAAGAGGAGATTCTGCCAGTCTTGCTTAGAGAGACCTGCCTCAACTTCTTCCAAACAGCTTACCCAAAACAAAAGAGTATAGATTTATATTTTCTATACTTAAAATTATAATGTATTCTACATTAAGAACTTTCAAACCTTATTGGTTTAATGGATTTAAATACGAGGGGTATTTTTAAAGTAAGGTCTGTTTTGTTGTAGACACTAGTAGTTCGCGCGCATACCGCAACGAGCGCATGCGTCGTGTACCGGCATGCCTCGGGAACAACTGTGCTCAGTTTCCGCTCTGTAGCTAACCTGTACGGTTCTGTTCTGTGCTTTAAAAATGTTTAAGACTATCAACTCATCCGCCGCATGTGAGGTTCGCTCAGTGATACGGTTTTTGTCAGCAAGGAACCTGCCTGCTGCAGAAATTCATCGACAGATTTGTGAAGTGTATGGTGATACTGTTATGAGTGAAAGCAAAGTGCATAAGTGGGTACGACAATTCAAAGATGGCCGTGACAACGTCTGGAATATTGTGTCCAATTCTGGGCACCCCAATTCAAGAGAGATATTGACAAGCTGGAATGTGTCCAGAGGAGGGCGACTAAAATGATCAAGGGTCTGGAGAAAAAGCCCTATGAGGAGCGGCTTGACTGGGCATGTTTAGCCTGAAGAAGAGAAGGCTGAGAGGAGATATGATAGCCATGTATAAATATGTGAGAGGAAGCCACAGGGAGGAGGAGGGAGCAAGCTTGTTTTCTGCTTCCTGGAGACTAGGACGCAATGGAACAATGGCTTCAAACTACAAGAGAGGAGATTCCATCTGAACATTAGGAAGAACTCCACTGTGAGAGCTGTTCAGCAGTGGAACTCTCTGCCCGGAGTGTGGTGGAGGCTCTTCTTTGGAAGCTTTTAAACAGAGGCTGGATGGCCATCTGTCAGGGGTGATTTGAATGCAATATTCCTGCTTCTGGCAGGGGGTTGGACTGGATGGCCCATGAGGTCTCTTCCAACTCTTTGATTCTATGATTCTATGATGAGGACTGCTCCGGTTGTCCTTCTTTGATTAGAGACGATTTGATGGCTTTTGGTGGCAGCAAGTTTTCATGAAGAGGGTGTTTTAAAATTGGTTCAGAGGTATGATAAGTGTTTGAACAAACTTGGCAACTATGTCAAAAAATAGAGTGAAGTATGTACTTTCTGAAAATAAATTTACTTTTTTGAAATAAACTTTCGTTTTGCACTTACGTTCCAATGGACCTTACTTAAAAAATACCCCTCATAGTAGCCTAAGAAAATCTACTTAACTATTATTTCCTGGTGATTCATTTATACATGCTCAAATAGGAAACAAAACAAGTGTCCAGGGATGGCTTCTTCAGGCCGACGGGAAGGGCTTACCATGTACATTGGCCGGCTGCATTGCTGGATGCAATCTGTGTACAACACCATCATGGCACGTCGGAAAATCCCAGTGTCTGCCAAAGACAATAGCACAGAGAGTATTAAGAGACCACTTGGAACTAAGCTGATCTGACCTTTCACAAGAGAGTGAAAACGTGGCTTTGTGACCAAGCCATTAAATAACTTGTGCAGTAGATGGACTTGGATTTATGTGTAATGACCATTGGAAAGGCCTGGATTACACTTGTGGGTTACATGTTTTAATTGTTATAATGTACTTTAAAATTATATTTTAATATTTATTTAAATGTACATTGTGTTTTATGGCATCAAATTATTGCCTGTATGTAAAGTCGGCTTGAATCCCCTCCGGGGTGAGAAAGGTGGGGTAGAAATGCTATAAATAAATAAATAAACAAATAATAGCAACAGCAGAATGAAGGTACTATGTATCTCCATCCTGTAAGAAACAGAGGAAGAAAGTCAGTGCATCATCTGCTCAGATCCACCTAAAATAGGATGTTGAGATGGCAGAGGCGTGTGTGAACATGTATCAACTAACCACGAGCCTCTAAAATAAAATAATCAGTGAAGAGGTCACCCTGTTATTAATTCTAACCACTCATCACCAAAGGCTAAAATCGGTGGCATGCGATTTTAGCAGGACCAGGAGCCTACTTGATCTTCATCTATGATTTAAACCAGAATTATTTTTGTTTGCATGAATTTCTGCAAATAATTTATAATTGCATTTACTAATGAGATTGGCCTAAAATTCTTCACTTGTTCCATATCTCTATCCTGTTTTGGGATGAGGACTATATTACTCTCTGCACAAGAATCCGGAATCTCAGCTTTCTGCAGCGCTTTGTTCATTACTGATACTCCTTGTCTGAGAATCCATCCGGACCAGGTGCTTTATTTATTTTAACTCTATCAATAACCCCGCCTACTTCATCTAGCGTGATTGCTCTATCTCATTTTAAATTCATCTCCTACAAAAACTTTGCAAACTTCATTTCTTCAGCTATTGATCTATCTTCTTAGAACTGTTCTATGTCTCAATGTCAATATCCTATTGTCTGAAGTCACCCGTGTGCACTTTTGTATAGTGTCCTATTGTCCATACCCCTTGGTCTGATGTTACCTGTATGTCATGATTATATGTCTATTTTTATAATGAAAAATCAATAAAAATTATTCAAAAAAAAAAGTACTGTTCTGGGAGTTTTGGCATAAATCTTTGTAATAATCTTCAAATATCTTATTAATACTCCTTATATCCATAATTGTTTCTTCTTTGTATTGTCGAAGGCTTTCATGGCCGGAATCACTGGGTTGTTGTAGGTTTTTCTGGCTATATGGCCATGTTCTAGAGCAGTGGTTCTCAACCTTCCTAATCCAGTGACCCCTTAACACAGTCCCCCATGTTGTGGTGACTCCCAACCATAACATTGTTTTGCTATATCATAACAGTCATTTTACTACTGTTATAAATCACAATGTAAATATCTGATATGCAGGATGTATTTTCATTCACTGGAGCAAACTGGGCACAAATACCCAATACACCCAAATGTGAATGCTTAGTGGGGTTGGGGGGAGGTGGGAGAATTGATTTTGTAATTTGGGAGTTGTAGTTGGTGGGATTTATAGTTCAACTATAATCAAAGAGCATTCTGAACTCCACCAGCGATGGATTTGAACCTAATTTGGCACACAGAACTCCCATGACCAATGGAAAATACTGGAAAGGTTTGGTGGATATTGACCTTGAGTTTGGGAGTTGTAGTTCACCTATAGCCAGAGAGCTCTGTGTACTCACGCAATGGTGGATCTGGACCAAACTTGGCACAAATACTCAATATGTCCCAAATGTGAACACCGATGGGGTTTGGGAATAGACTTTGACATTGGGAGTTGTAGTTGCTGGGATTTATAGTTCACTACAATCAAAGAACATTCTGAACCCCACCAACGATAGAATTGGCTCAAACTTTCCACATGGAAGCCCCATGACCATCAGAGAATACTGTGTTTTTTGATGATCTTTGGCGACCCCTCTGACACCCCCTCACGACCCCCTCAGGGTCCCGATCCCCAGGTTGAGAAACACTGTTCTAGAGGCATTCTCTCCTGACGTTTCGCCTGCATCTATGGCAAGCATCCTCAGAGGTTGTGGGACGTCACCTACCTAATTTGATCTTCAGAACTACGTAAAACAAAACTTTAGGTATGCACCTACATTATAAAAAAATTCTGATTCATACAATGGGTTTTATTAAGTTTTGAAAAAAGGAAGTTATGCTGCTGCACCCTGTAGTAAGGATATTACATATTTGCAAGCATACGCATGTCCACCCACCAGTATTCCTGAAGAAAGCTCAGGCACTAGCTGGGTGTTCTGCACCAGCTCCAACAGCAGAGGCAGGGAACTGTGACAGGTTACAGGCCAATTGTATGCGCCTGGGAACCTTTGTGTGCTATGACATATGAATAGAATAAAATAAAATAATGGGCCAAATAAATAAAATAAAATAAACAATGCAGGGGAGTCCTGAAGGCTATTTAAAAGATGAATGGCCACTCCAGGTGGCTTTCAGGCAAGGTGTTTCATCAAGTATGTATGTAGGATATGGAGAGGAATTTGTTGGAGGAAGGGAGATCCCTCTCTGTCTCGAGAAGCTCAGGGCAGCAAAAACAATGTTGGTGCTTCCACCCCTTCTGTGACTTTAAAAAAAAAATTGAAACACCTTTGTGAACCATCCACTCACCAGATATCTTAGGCTCTACTCCAGGGATCCTTAAACTTTTAAAGCAGGGCCAGGTCAGTGTCCCTCAAACTGTTGGAGGGCCGGATTATAATTTGAAAAAAACATGAATGAATTCCTATGCACACTGCACATATCTTATTTGTAGTGCAAAAAAACCCACTTTAAAACAATACAATCATTCAAATTAAGGTCATTTTTAATAAATTAGTATTTCAATGGGAAGTGTGGGCCTGCTTTTGGCTGATGAGATAGGATTGTTGTTGTTGTTGTTGTTGTTGTTGTTGTTGTTGTTGTTGTTGTTGTGTCCGGATGCCCGACCACCGTATCCCAAAGCAGTTGCTGTACTCCGAACTCAAGAATTGAAAACATAATGTTGGAGGACAGCAAAAGAGATTTAAAGATGGGCTCAAAGCCAACCTTAAAAACTCTGGCATAGACACTGAGAACTGGGAAGCCCTGGCCCTTGAGCGCTCCAGCTGTAGGTTAGCTGTGACCAGCAGTGCTGTAGAATTTGAAGAGGCACGAATGGAGGGCGAAAGAGAGAAACGTGCCAAGAGGAAAGCGCATCAAGCCAACCCCGACCGGGACCGCCTTCCACGGAAACCTATGCCCTTACTGCGGGAGAAAATGTAGATCAAGAATAGGGCTCCACAGTCACCTACGGACCCACCACAGTACACTTGGAGGACCATAATCCTCGGACTATGAGCGATCGCCTAAGTAAGTGTTGTGTGCTTTCAAGTCATTTCAGACTTAGGTTGACCTTGAGCTAGGGCCGGGTAAATGACCTTGGAGGGCTGTATCCGGCCCGTGGGCCTTAGTTTGAGGCCTCCTTCTCTAATCACTTTCATAGCAGCTATTGTCCAATAAATATCAAGAGTAGCAGGTTGGGAAAGGCAGTCTAGAAAAATAAGAACCCACATCCTGTCCTGGTTTCTTACAGTCCGAAAGCGCACAGTCTAGATGGGAAAGAGAAACACAAAGGGATAGTTACCTGGATCAGAGACATCTGAGGCAAAGAGAAGCAAGAAAGGAAGGATGAAAAAGCATGTGAGAGGAATGCATTGGTGCACACAGTGAAGGATCACAACAAACATGCTGCAGCGTGGGAAAGATTCCTCAAAATGCCTACCAAAGCAAGCCATAAACACACACACACACAAGCACACTCATTCACACTCATGAGGCCATCCTAGATCTGCATCCCAAAGCAGAGTGCCACTTGAGTAAAGGGAAAGCTGCCTTGAAATGATCAGCCACCCAGCACAGCCCTGGAATTCAGTTACAAGGGAAAGCCAGGACCTGGTTCTTAAGAGAGCTGAAACTGCATCTACACTGCCAAACAATGCAGTGCAGAGTCGCATAACCTGTGTGCGTCCACACAAGGCATGCAATTTAACCCACCTAATAGGCATGTGCACTCCATGGTTCTAAATGATTCTAAAGTACTGCGTGACCGCATCTCTGTATACGAACCCACACGATCCTTTCGATCATCCGGAGAGGCTCTGCTCTTGATCCTACCAGCATCGCAGGCGCAATTAGTGGGGACGAGAGAGAGGGCCTTTTCGGTGGTGGCCCCTCGACTCTGGAACTCACTCCCTAAAGACATCAGGCAGGCCCCAACTCTGGCAGTCTTCAGGAGGAGCTTGAAGACGTGGCTGTTCCAGTGTGCCTTCCCGGAATAATGATCCCATAGCACTTTGTCCTCCAAAGCACTTTACATTTCTTTAGGTCTGCTCGTATGCCCTTCCACAAACACCAGTATCACCTTTCGTCCATGTCCCAGCATTATTTCCAATTTTAACTCTACATTTGGCCTTCCCACTGTTTTTAATTGTGTGTTGTCTTATTGATAATGTTGTGTATTTTATTGTTTATGTTTTTTAATTGCTTGTATTGTTGTTATTATTGCTTGTATTGTTGTGTTTGGGCTCGGCCTCATGTAAGCCGCACCGAGTCCCTAGGGGAGATGATAGTGGGGTACAAATAAAGTGTTATTATTATTATTAAAACTAAAGTTCTGGTGGTGAAAACTAGGGGGCGCTGGTGTTTTGCTTCTACAGTGTTGCTAAAGTTCTGGTGGTGAAACTTTCAGAACTCTAACACAACTTTCAAAATTTCATTATAAATGGCAGTCTATATTAGGTTCTGTCATAAAAATCATCAATGAAATAATAATGAAATTTTGAAAGTTTTGTTAGAGTTCTGAAATTTTCACCACCAGAACTTTAGCAACACTGTAGAAGCAAAGCACCAGAGCCCCCTAGTATTCACCACCAGAACTTTAGTTTTGTAAGTACTTTAGAACCATTTAGAACCATGGATTGCACATGCCTACCGCCTAATATGCACCCTGGATTGAAAAGCATAGGGGAAGGTTCAAAACCTGCTCCAGGATTTGGATCTTTCCCCATTTGGGGGCAGTGGGAACAGCCATCCCAGATACGGGATGCAGGATCATGTCTCCACAGCCACTGCATATTCCCTGGGCTGGGATGGCACACTCTTCCTGCTCTATTCCCAGTCATGCTGAAACCAGTTTCTATACTTCTGGGCTATTCAGATGCTCTCCCACCACCAAGGGGACTCAGGAAAGTCTTGTGTAGCCTTGATATGGCTCAGAACCAGCATTTTTCATTATAGAAGGGCCCAGAGATACAGTTCTCATTTCATATGAAACAGTAAGACAGAAACAAGCTCCATTCCCACACTAGATTTGTATACATTGATGAAAAATATATATGTTTGGTCGAATTGACTCTGCAATGGCCACCATACATATCATACATATCATAGTGAGATCATCACAACAGGCCACACATTTCCACCTGAACTCACCTCACTGTTAGACCACTTTTTCACTGCCCTATATTCCAGGATCTGATCCCAAATTATACTCTTATCCCAAATTATCTACAAAGCTGTACAAAATCCAGATTATTTGTTTTAAACTGGATTATATGGCAGTGTAGACTCAGATAATCCCGTTCAAAGCAGACAATGTGGATTTTCTGTTTTAATATTCTGGATTACATGGAAGTGTAGCAAGGCCCTCATATAATCCAGTTCAAAGCAGATAACCTGGCATATAAGGACAGTGTAGAAGGAGCCATAAAGAGCAGTCTACATTGGGTTGTTGTAGGTTTTTTCGAGCTGTATGCCCATGGTCTAGAGGCATTCTCTCCTGACATTTCGCTTGCATCTATGGCAAGCATCCTCAGAGGTAGTGAGGTCTACATTTCATAGTTTTTGTTGTTCATTCGTTCAGTCGTCTCCGACTCTTCGTGACCTCATGGACCAGCCCATGCCAGAGCTCCCTGTCGGCCGTCATCACCCCCAGCTCCTTCAAGGTCAGTCCAGTCACTTCAAGGATGCCATCCATCCATCTTGCCCTTGGTCAGCCCCTCATAATTACATACTTACATACTTACATAGTGAGTCTACCTTTCCGCTCCTTTGCATCATTTTCAGCCACATGCTCATGGTCACTCCACCCACCCCTCCCCCACCATGCTTGCAAAAGCATGGATGCACTAATACTAATATACTTTTTAAAAAAAACAACCCAAGACGGAACAATTTCCTGGTGGGAAACTTCACCTCCCACCAACCAGTTCAAACCACTACTGACTTCTCACCCAGACCCCAAAGCAAAGAGATTCCATCTGAACATGAGGAAGAACTTTCTGACTGTGAGAGCCGTTCAGCAGTGGAACTCTCTGGCCCGGAGTGTGGTGGAGGCTCCTTCTTTGGAAGCTTTTAAACAGAGGCTGGATAGCCATCTGTCAGGGGTGATTTGAATGCAATATTCCTGCGTCTTGGCAGGGGATTGGACTGGATGGCCCATGAGGTCTCTTCCAACTCTTTGATTCTATGATTCTATGATGTTATCTCAAGGGCTGGCTATAAACCCAAAATCTGGATTTTTTTTTTTGTAAAACTATAGGACCACTCTGCAAGCAAATAATCAAGAACAACATGTGTCAGGATTGTACCACTTATTTTTTTTTGTTGTGTCAGGAGCGAACTTGAGAAACTGCAAGTCGCCTCTGGTGTGAGAGAATTGGCCATCTGCAAGGAGATTGCCCAGGGGATGCCTGGATGTTGTGATGTTTTATCATCCTTGTGGGAAGCTTCTCTCATGTCCCCGCATGAGGAGCTGGAGCTGATAGAGGGAGCTCATCCGCGCTCTCCCCGGATTCGAACCTGCGACCTGTCAGTCTTCAGTCCTGCCGGCACAAGGGTTTAACCCACTGCGCCTCCTATAAGGTGAATACAATTTTTTCTATAATGTAGATAAGCCCATTGTCTGTCTGCAATCCTAAAGTAAAGGAGAAACAAACAACTGTGATTGACCAGATAATGTTGGACTGTACTTCTAATAAGCCTTAGCCAGTATAATCAATGGTGAAGTACACTGGGAATTGCAGTCTCACAGTTGAAGGACAAGAGTTGCTTTCATAAATTAGAGATACCACTGGATAGCCATTAACAGACCTTCAAAGTAAATATCTCTAGAGAGGCTAAGTGCTTATCACTTACCTATCTTGAACCGACCCATGTAGTAAATCTGGGTGCTGAGGCCAAGCGAAGCAACAACATGGATGACTGAGAAGAGGACCCAAAACCACACAGAATTTTTTCCAAAAACCTGGTCGTAAATAAAACAAAATAATTACAACAAACAACAACACAGAGCTGTGTTTAATTCACTTTCCAACTATGAAAATATTCTTCCTCCCTTCAGTTAATGAGCTTAAGATTTAGCTTGTTGTCCTCGTGGACAACAAGCTAAACATGAGCCAACAATGTGATGTGGCGGCAAAAAAAGCCAATGGGATTTTGGCCTGCATCAATAGGAGCATAGTGTCTAGATCTAGGGAAGTAATGCTACCCCTCTATTCCGCTTTGGTCAGACCACACCTGGAATATTGTGTCCAATTCTGGGCACCACAATTCAAGAGAGATATTGACAAGCTGGAATGTGTCCAGAGGAGGGCGACTAAAATGATCAAGGGTCTGGAGAACAAGCCCTATGAGGAGCGGCTTAAAGAGCTGGGCATGTTTAGCCTGAAGAAGAGAAGGTTGAGAGGAGATATGACAGCCATGTATAAATATGTGAGAGGAAGCCACAGGGAGGAGGGAGCAAGCTTGTTTTCTGCTTCCCTGGAGACTAGGACATGAAACAATGGCTTCAAACTACAAGAAAGGAGATTCCATCTGAACATGAGGAAGAACTTCCTGACTGTGAGAGCTTCAGCAGTTGAACTCTCTGCCCCGGAGTGTGGTGGAGGCTCCTTCTTTGGAAGCTTTTAAACAGAGGCTGGATGGCCATCTGTCAGGGGTGATTTGAATGCAATATTCCTGCTTCTTGGCAGGGGGTTGGACTGGATGGCCCATGAGGTCTCTTCCAACTCTTTGATTCTAGGATTCTACTAAACCTGGCACACACAGGACTCCCATGACCAACAGAAAACACTAGAAGAGTTTGGTGGGCATTGGCCTGAGTTTGGAAATTGTAGTTCACCTCCATCCAGAGAGCACTGTGGACTCAAACAATGATGGATCCGGACCAAACTTGGCAGGAATACCTAATATGCCCAAATATGAACACAGATGGAGTTTGGGAAAAATAGACCTTGACATTTGGGAGTTGTAGTTATTGGGATTTACAGTTCACCTACAATCAACGAGCATTATGACCCCTGCGAACTGTTTACCCCCAAGCATAGAGAAATTACATGTATTAGAAACCAACACTTTCTCGTTACTTTATTTTCTAGATCACCAGACTGGGCCACAGCAACGCACGGCAGGGGACGGCTAGTGCATATATAACTGCTGAAAGGCAGTTTGGAAGTAACTGTTTTCCTCTTTTTCTTTTCCTTCTTCATTTTTGCTACACTTTTAAAATTTATTTTGTTTTTAATCTCTATAATTCTTAATGTATTCCTGAATTTTTTTAAAAAAAATTAAATTAATGAGAGAGAGAGAAAAGTTGGTAGCATACACTTCTAAAGGTTACCTACATAATCAAATTCATTTGATGAAATAGACTTAAATCTATGAAAGCTTATGCTATAAACTTCTTTCAGTCTCAAAACTACTACAAGATCCCATCATATTCCAGCACCGGGATTGTGGCGTAGCTGGCTGAGTGTCAGCTGCATTAAGATCACTCTGACCAAAAGGTCATGAGTTCGGAGGCAGCCCGGGTTGGAGTGGGTTTCCAACCAATTATGTGTAGCCTGCTGTCGACCTTTGCAACCCGAAAGACAGTTGCATCTGTCAAGTAGGAAAATTAGGTACCACCTTAAAAAGTGTGGGGAGGCTAAATTAACTGATTTATGAGGCCATAAAGAAGACTCCAGCAAAGCATTCCAGCGGGGAAACATGCGGGAAAGCGGAAGTGCTTCATCAGTGTCGCAGATGGATGATGAAAGCGACAGCTCCCCGACGGCCAGAAAAAGTTAAATAGCCTCTGTCTATGTCTGGATATGTTGTATGTTAAAACTGGCATTGAATGTTTGCCATATATGTATACACTGTAATTGCTCTGAGTCCCCTGCGAGGTGAGAAGGGCGGAATATAAAAGCTGTAAATAATAATAAATAATAATATGCATACCCATTTATGTAAAGTTCCATACACACAAATGGATAAAATATGTTCTTAAATAAGCTGGTCTCTTGTTTGCTTGGAAAGGGATAGGAAGGCTGGAGTACTTGCAGGTACCATTTTCCATGACACAGACCTGCTGAGAATGACAGCAAGGTGGCCCAAGTCTTATCTTTCTGATGTTCCCACCCTTTGCTGCCGCTCTCTCTCTCCCCCCACTTTCTCCCCATTCTTGCATGAATTGGTCCCTCAGTGAGGAGCCAAATGTGTGTGGATGAAGCCATACCACTCCAAGCACAGCAAGGGAAATGACCACTGCAAAAGAGGCATAGGCCGAGTAGGCGCTGGCGTTGATGTCAGGGTGGCGCGTCTGGTAGAGCTTTAACATGCACAATCCAGCAATCATGTACATGAAGGAGGTGTCTGTCAAAAGAGAAGAAAGAGATAATATTTGTAATGTTACCTTTCCCCACAATTGCCTTGGGTTTTTTTTACAAGACCAAATCTTATCTTATCTTTTTTAAGGCTATGATGTCAAGGTCCTCATGACCATGGCAGAAAATTCAGTGGGCCTTGTATCTACACAGACATGAGGAAGGCAGCACTGTACATGGTTATATGTGACACTAGGAAGAAGAAAGAAAAAAAATGCTTTTTTCTTTTTTTAAAAGCCGTAAGCACTGGGTTCACTAATCTCTCAGCAATAAAACCTTGTCCTGATTGCCCCATAGTCTCTGAAACTTAAGAGGCGTCACTGAAAACAGTGTATAGGGACTTGGTTCACATTGTCCAAAGATGTCTGTAAGCTCCCTTCCTTCAATCCCTCTATGTTCCTTGGCTGGGAGAGGTCACATGCTTACCAAACTGGAAATTAGAATAGTTGGGACAAACATGATAACAAGCACTCAGGACACCTTCCATCATCAAAGCGATTCCCATGGCATAGAAGAGGCCAAAGTGCTTGGGGATCCCATAATCCTGGAAGGAAAGGGAAAAGAGAAAAAGAAGGAACAAGGCAAATGCCATTCATCACTAGTGCATATAGAAGCTTGGGCAGGATCTTACTTCAATAGAGGTCACAAGACTACCTGCAGTGCTTAAAGCAATGGGGCCCCTTCCACATAGCTGAATAAAATCCCTTGGGTTTTTTTCCCTTTAAAATTCTAACAGACAATATCTATTTATTTATTTATTTCAAAGTTTTCTATACCGAGCTTCTCACCTCTTAGAGGGACTCAGCCCGGTTTACAACCATAAAAACATACAATCAGTAAAATATCATAGTTCATAGTTCAATGCCTGGCAGGTGTTCATGACTCAGAGGTGGTGCCTTTTGACTAGACCTAAGCTGCAGATGAGAAGGTGGAGAGGAGACATGATCGCCATGGTTAAATATTTGAAAGGATGCCTTAAGGCTTGTTTGCTGCTGCCCTGGAGACTAGGATTCAATGGAACAATGGGTTCAAATTCCAAGAAAAGAGATTCCACCTGAACATTAGGAAGAAATTCCTGACTGTGAGAAATGTGGTGGAAGCTGTGGTGGAAGCTCCTTCTTTGGAGGCTTTCAAACAGACAATGGATGACCATCTGTCAGGAAAGCTTTGATTGTGCTTTTCCTGTATGGCAGGGACTTGGTCTTGATGGCCCATGTGGTCTCTTCCAACTCTATGATTTTATGATTTTACCATTGTGTAGATGTCTTTGGTTTCCAAGGACCGCCTGTGGAGGATGTCTCGGCGTAAGACAATCAACAGGAAAAGGAAGCCCAGAAGGAAGTGGCCCACGTTGCTAAGGATATTGTTGAAAGCACTGCAAAGGAGGAAGCTACAATGAGAAAGTGAAACTGAGGAAGGGGACTCCTACTCCTGCCCAAACATAGTATTTTCTTCTGTCCATAAGTATGTAATAATGTAAGTAATTATTTTAAAAACTAAATCTTTGTATATAATGAATTTCGACGTAATCAGTTTGAGTGACATTATCATACGTCATAATTCCTGGGAGCATTCACACACCTCAAGACTCCCAGTGGATGAGCACAGAGGAAATTATAATAGCAGATGTCCTGATTTCCAGTCACATTCACCACCTGGAGAGTAAGGAGAAAACAGTATATAAACATGATGGCCATGTATAAATGTGTGAGGGGATGTCATTGGCAGGAGGGAGTAAATTTGTTTTCTGCTTCCCTGGAGACTAGGACGCGGAACAATGGCTTCAAACTACAAGAAAGGAGATTCCATCTGAACATTAGGAAGAACTTCCTGACTGTGAGAGCCATTCAGCAGTGGAACTCTCTGCCCCAGAGTGTGGTGGAAGCTTCTTCTTTGGAGACTTTTAAGCAGAGGTTGGATGGCTATCTGTCGGGGTGCTTTGATTGTGATTTTCCTGCTTCTTGGCAGGGGGTTGGACTGGATGGCCCATGAGGTCTCTTCTAACTCTATGATTCTAAATTAATTTGCATCCCACTATCTATATCTATATCTATATTAAAAGAGAGTGTTTGTATGCAGAGGACGGGAGGTGTATGTGGCAGCGTTCTGATTAGCGAAGAGGGCGAAGTGGCAAAGAGGGTTAATGAGGGAAGCGGGGACATGAAAGAAGGAAATTTGCATATGGTTTCTGATTGGCCAGCTTCAACAGGAGCCCCTGGTGGTGAAGAGGGTTAATGAGAGAAGCCTCCCACAAGGATGGTAAAACATCAAAACATCCTGGCGTCCCCTAGGCAAAGTCCTTGCCAATTCTCTCACACCAGAAACAACTTGCAGTTTCTCAAGTCGCTCCTGACATGACAAAAAAACCCCCCAAAAAACAAAAACAAAAAACCAAAAACATTCTAACATTCTCAAATGGATGAGAAGAGAAAGGAAAGGGCCTGAGGGATTTGCAGTACCTTCACTCACTCTACATCCTACTGCAGTTTGGAGGAGGATGGACCATGGATGATGGGACTTCAAGTACCTCCACTCCCCAAATAAACTGATAAATAACTGATAAAGACCAACCTTGATACACAATTCCTTTCTCAAATAACCCGGGAAATGCTAGGTCCCCAAGCTAGTCTATATATATATAAATGCTCTGTGCATAATGAGTACCTTAAAAACAAAAGAACCAATGAACGAAATCACACCAAATTTGGCAACAAAATGTCTCACAACACAAGGAGTGACCATCACTCAAAAATTATGATTTTGTCATTTGGGAGTTGTAGCTGCTGGGATTTATAGTTCACCTACAACCAAGAGCATTCTGAACTCCACCAACGATGGAATTGAAGCAAATTTGGCACACAGAACTCGCATGACCAACAGAAAATATTGGAAGGGTTTGATGGGCATTGACCTTGAGTTTGGGAGTTGTACTTCTCCTACATCCAGAGAGCACTATGGACTCAAACAATGATGGATCTGGACCAAACTTGGCACAAGCACTCAATACACCCAAATATGAACACAGATGGAGTTTGGGGAAAATAGACCTTGTCATTTGGGAGTTGTAGTCACTGGGATTTATAGTTCACCTATAATCAAAGAGCAGTCTGAACCGCACGAATGACAGAATCAGGGCAAACTTCCCACACAGAACACCCATGACCAACAGAAAATACTCAAGACCATCCAACCCAACTCCCTTCACCGGGGCAAGAAAACGCAATCAAAGTCCTCCTGACAAATAGCCATCCAGCCATAGATATAGATAGATCGATAGATAGATAGATAGATAGATAGATAGATAGATAGATATGATTCATACACACAGAGATATAGTGTCATAGATTTGAAAGGGACCCTTAAAGAAGGACTATGATATGTTGCATATTCCAGAGTACGCAAACCAGACGCTCTCCACATCAACACTGACAAAGAAACAGCAAGAAATACTGTTTACCCACAAGCATAAAGTAATTACATATATTAGACACCAACACTTTCTCATTACTTTATTTTCCAGATCACCAGACTGGGCCACAGCAACGCGTGGCAGGGGACAGCTAGTATATAAATAAAAATGTAATGTTAGTTTGTGGGATTAACAGAACTCAAAAACCACTGGACAAATTGACACCAAATTTGGACACAATACACCCAGCAGGCCAATGAGTGATCATCACTCATAAAAACATGGAAAAACACAGAGACAAAAACAACTCCAACCCCAATAGGGTGTTAGGAAGGCTGTTAGGAATTGTGGGAGATGGAGTCCAAAACGCCTGGAGGGCCCAAGTCTGCCCCTACATGGTTTACACCGTGGAATTATTCCACAGCATTGAGCCATGGTAGTTAAAGGGGTCCCATAAGCCATCCAGCCCAACCACTTTTGGCAGTAAAGGAAGACACCATCAAAGCCCTCCCGACAGATGGTCAACCAGTTGGAAGGAAGCCTCAAAGGAATCGTGGTAATCTTACCACTGTTTCATTCTCCATTCCTTGCTGTTAATACTGTTTGATGGGCTTTCCTCAGGAGATAACAGGCTCACCGTATAAATACAAACTGTGTAAATAGCATTGAATGCCACAATAGGCCATTGTAGTTAGGATGGTTTGTATGGGGATTTCTGAGCTAGGTTATATAACTCACTGTCTGGTATGTGATCACCAACTGGATTACAGGCAGGGCATAGAAAACAGCAATTGTGATAATGTTCCTAAAAGAACAAGGAGACATGAAAGGATTATTGGTAAACAAGAATACCTAAATAACATTTGTTAAGAGAACATGATACATCTGGTTTAACACAATATGACATGGGAAATTATGCAAATAATTCGGTTACTATGCTTTTTAGTGTTATTGGAATCATGAAACAAGTTGGAACACTAGGTCATTCTTGTGGTTTATCAATTGACTCAGTTATATATAGTATTTGCATTTGATTCCAGGTATATTTACTCTTAAACTAAATCACAATAGAAGAAAGGAGATTCCATCTGAACATGAGGAAGAACTTCCTGACTGTGAGAGCCGTTCAGCAGTGGAACTCTCTGCCCCGGAGTGTGGTGGAGGCTCCTTCTTTGGAAGCTTTTAAACAGAGGCTGGATGACCATCTGTCAGGGATGATTTGAATGCAATATTCCTGCTTCCTGGCAGGGGGTTGGACTGGATGGCCCATGAGGTCTCTTCCAACTCTATGGTTCTATGATTTTATGATTCTATGATAAGTCTCTAGTTAATGAAATGATCATTTTACTAGCTCTATCTTCAAACATGTCTCACTCTGATTAATTTGTTACTGTGCCTTCACCTTTGGCCATGTAGTTTTTTTTTAATTAGGAGCCCCCGGTGGCATGATGGGTAATAATAATAATAATAATAATAATAATAATAATAATAATAATAATATAATGCTTTATTTATACCCCACTCCATCTCCCCCAGGGGGACTCGGTGTGGCCTACATGAGGCCATGCCCATCAGTACAATACAAGCTATAACACAAACCCAATAAAACAAGCAAAATACATAAAATGCAAAATCGAAATAATATACAATAAAACAATATAAAATCAAGCATTAAAAATACAGGAAATTTCACAAGGCAGGGCCAGATGCATGGATAAAATTATAGAAAATATTTAAAACACTGGGAGATAGGGCAGAGTAACTTATAAGGAGGAGGCTCCAGGAATGAGGAAAGATTTTATTGCACAACCCATAAAGTAAAGTGCGTCTAAGGACATTTTGTGCAAAGTGTAGTCAGGGAGAATCTTTCAATCACTGAAGGCACTGAGGGGTTAAACCTTTGTATTGGCAGGACTGCTGACTGAAAGGTCAGTGGTTCGAATCCGGGGAGCGAGGCGAACTCCCTCTGTCAACTCCAGCTTCTCACAAGAGAAGCCTTCCACAGGATGGTAAAACATCTGGGCATCCCCTGGGCGACGTCCTTGCAGATGGCCAATTCTCTCACACCAGTTAGTAGTAAAGCCACAATACAAAAAGGTGGACTGAGTTAGGAACTAGCCTAAAATCGCTACTTACCAGAAATAAATTTTGTATTTTTTACTGACAATTCTTCGATCCTTCCTGGACAAATCAGACAGATAGAGAAACATCTAGAAAAAAAGGATGGAAACATTCATATTTTGTGACGCTTCAGAAGAGAGGAAATTAGCAGGCAAAGTGCAAGTCAGGGTGGTGGTGTCTGCTCTAGAAACCATTAAGCTGTGACAAGAAGGTGTTGGATGGACAAATCTCCATATTTTAAATGATATTAACAGCTTATGGTCCAGATATATGTACAGACTGAGCACATAAGAGAAGGGTGTGAAAACCGAGTGGTGCTTCACTGACTTCTTGGATGGCTTTATTTCATCTGGCTTATAGGTCTTGCAGCCACCTGTCTGCTGCAATTCAGTTGCCAGGAATCGTGGCCAAAGAGCCTCCTCAGACGACCACAGTACAGAGAGTGGGTGGCATTCCTGAGGTGAATAATCTACCTTGGTGCGGATGACATTCTTGTCACTTTCAATTTCAGGCATGGTATCAAAATCGCTTTCCTCTTCTACAGAGCTGTCTGTATCCAAGTCACAAGGAGGTCTATGATCCAGAGATGATAATTGCTGTCCACCGCTGGAGCCTGACTCATCTGGAAATAATACAGAAATATCTGGAATATGAGATGCCTCTTTCTGGAAAACAAATGCACTCTGAAGTGAAACACATTAAAATATCATGACAGAGAAGTGTCTGCATGATGTATTGGGGATCACATGACATGGGAGCAAGGGAACTTCATCAGTAGATTGCTATTGCTACTATTAAGAAGACTGGGTTCTGCAGAACTGTTTTCAAGAATGTGTGGCCTCTTGCCCATAGGGATGTAGAAGCTGAATGGGAAAGAAGACATTCAAAGGTGCCAAAGGTCTTTTCAAGGCAGTAGGTAAGACACAATGGTCAACCAGTGAGCAAAATCTAGCACAGTGGTTCTCAACCTGTTGGTCCCCAGGTGTTTTGGCCTACAATGCCCAGAAATCCCAGCAAGTTTACTTCTGGAAATTGAAGGCCAAAACATCTGGGGACGCATAAGTTGAGAGCCACTGATCTAGCAGACCTGTCTGTCCAAACAAGAGTGGCCACGCAATGCTTTGAGAGGTCCATCTTCTGCTCCAACTGCCTTTATGTGTTTCTTGCTGATGAAAGCCAAGCACTACTTTTAACTGTTAGATTCCTTACCCTTTTTTTCATCTTAGAAATTACGTTTTCTACACTGCTCTTTCCTACAAATGGGAAGGTTCATTATATCACAGCTTCTTAAACTGTGGACACTGACCCCAAATGGGGTCCCTTTGGCTCAATATTGGGGTCATAAAAAATGGCAGTAGTAAAAGGTTTCTGAATAAGCATCACTCCAAACTGAAGTCTTTTTCTCCCACCATCCATCCATCCCTCCACCAGTCTTCCATCCCATGCAATCAATGCTTTTTCTGTGTAACCCAGAGTATATGCTGTTTCCTGTTTTGCACCTTATTACACATCCTTCCTTGCTGCTGTACATTTGACACTAGCTCTCAAAAGCTGTTACATAGCACATCTGACATCTGAACAGTCAACAATATCTATGGATTCCAGGGTTTATGTACCAATAGCTCCATAGCTGCTTCCTTCTGGTGTGCTGGCAGCGATGGGATGAGAGGCAGCCACTGTCCCAGACCCTACAATGAGAACAAACAGAGAATACTCTTCTATTTTTATCTGACTGGTCAAAAGCTACCAGTGATCAAAACAGACTCCCGCCACTTGGAGAACTATTGGGATTTCAAAAGGAATTCTACATTGGGAACCAAGCATGGGAACTTGCAGGGTGGCTGCATGGTTAGGAAAAAAAAGCAAACTAACATATATACTCGAGTATAAGCCGATGCACCTAATTTTACCACTAAAAACTGAGAAAACGTATTGATTCGAGTATAAGTCGAGGGTGAAAAATGCAGCAGCTACTGGTCAATTTCAAAATAAAAATAGATACCAATAAAATTATATTAATTGAAGCATCAGTAGGTTAAATGTTTATTAATCTATATAAATAAAAATGTAATGTTCGTTTGTGGGATTCACAGAACTCAAAAACCACTGGGGGAATTGACACCAAATTTGGACACAAGACATCTAACAACCCAATGTATGTCCTTCACTCATAAAACACTGAAAAACACAGCAGAAGGGATTTAAAAAGCCCCAGAAAGCTAAATGATGACAATACAGAAAAAAGGAAGAAAGAGGGAGGGAAGGGAAGGGAAGGGAAGGGAAGGAAAAAAGAAAGAAGGAAGGAAAAGAAAGAGGGAGGGAAAGAAAGAAGGAAAGGGAGAAGGAACATGGAAGCAAAGAGAGAAGGAAGGAGATAGAGAAGGAAGAAAGGAGAGAAAGAGGGAGGGGGAAAAAGGGGGAAGGAAGGAAAGTTAGAGAAGGAAGGAAGGAGAGAAGGAAAGAAAAAAGGGAAAGAGGGAGTGAAGGAAGGGGGAAAGATGTAGAGAAAGAGGGAGGGAAGCAAAGAGAGAAGGAAGAAAAGAGAGACCGCAGAAGAGAAAGAAAAAGGGGGAAGGAAGGAAAGAGATAGAGAAGGAAGGGAGAAGGAAAGACAGGAAGGAAGGCAGGAAAGAGGGAGTGAAGGAAAAAGGAGAGAAAGAGGGAAGGTTGGCCACAGCAACGCATGGCAGGTACAGCTAGTATTTACATAAAACTGTAAGATAAGACTGTCCAGCTCTGACAAAAACCATTATTCTAACCTTCTTCAATATACATGTGTTTACGTATCCTTCCAATAATAATAAAGAGAGTAAAATAATAAATGTAATAATAATAAAATAATAAAGTGAACCTATAAATGTAATAATAATAATAATAATAATAATAATAATAATAATAATAATAAAGTAAAATAATGAATAACCTTGACTCGAGTATAAGCCGAGGGGAGCTTTTTCAGCCTAAAAAAAGGGCTGAAAAACTAGGCTTATACTCGAGTATATCCAGTACTTTCTTGCTGTGGCCGGTGTGCTGTTAGGAATTGCAGGTCCAAAAAACCCGGAGGGACAAAGTTTGCCCGTGCTTGAGATAACTCATTGGTTTGGGCACTAAGATGCTCTTTCCCATGAATGGGAAGCTTCTCTATATCACAGCTTGCTAAACTGTAGACTCTGACCCAAATGGGGTACCCTTAGCTGAATTTTGGGCATCATGAAAAAATGTCTGCAGTAAAAGGTTTCTGAATGCCACAAATCTTTTAGCAAAAACTTGCAGTGTTTACAGTGGACTCTGCAGAAATTGCTTCAGCTGTACTCCACAAAAAATCAGTCTGTTTAGCAAACAGACCTCACTACCTCTGAGGATGCTTGCCATAGATGTAGGCAAAACGTCAGGGGAGAATGCCTCTAGACCATGGCCATATAGCCTGAAAAAACCCACAACAACCCACTGTTTAGCAAGCCTTGCAAATGCTGATTTATTATCATTAATGTTTTATTTTTATACCTATTTTATATGCTGATATACATGGGGTACTGTAGAAATGTATTGGGCAGAAAGGGATTGTGAGGAGGAAAAGTTTAAGAAGCCCTGCTCTATGTGCACTGTAATGTCCAAAAACAGATGAAAGTCAAGCATGTCATTAGATGCTAAAACTCCAGTCCCAGTCTGCTCTTTGATGAGAGATCTACTGGATAAAGTGAAGGAAAGTAACATTTGCCTTTTTGGAAGCTAATCCAGGAGTTGCGCAAGCTGCTCCCAGAGGAAATTCCAACAAGACTCAACAGTAGAGGTACACAGCATTTTCCTATTCATAATAGACAGCTAGGAGCCCCCAGTGGCGCAGTGGGTTAAACCCCTGTGCCGGCAGGACTGAAGACCGACAGGTCGCAGATTCGAATCTGGGGAGAGACGGATGAGCTCCCTCTATCAGCTCCAGCTCCTCATGCGGGGACACGAGAGAAGCCTCCCACAAGGATGATAAAAATCCAATCATCCGGGCAACTTCCTTGCAGATGGCCAATTCTCTCACACCAGAAGCAACTTGCAGTTTCTCAAGTCGCTCCTGACACGACAAAAAAATAATTAAAAAATAGACAGCTTGGGGCCCTCAGTGTCTTTTGGTGAGATACATAATGTCCACACACACAGATGGACCTCATCTATATTATGGGTCATCTATATTAAAGCCAGTCCTATGAGATGTATACAAGAAAGGCAGCGGTCATGGCCATGATGGTGTGGAATCTTCCCACAATTCAAATAATGGTACTTCTTCAGAAATGACTGCTGTGTCCCAATGATATGCTAGACCTATAAGGAGAAAGAGAGAGCTCTGCCCCTCCCAAGAAACCAAGAACATGGACAATAGAGCCTGTACATCAGGGGTCCTCAAACTAAGGCCCGGGGGCTGGATGCGGCCCTCCCAGGTAATTTACCCGGCCCTCGTTCAGGGTCAACCTAAATCTGTAACAACTTGAAAGTACACAACAACAACAACAATCCTATCTCATCAGCCAAATGTAGGTCCACACTCCCCATTGAAATACTAATAAGTTTATATTTGTTAAAATTGTTCTTCATTTTAATTATTGTATTGTTTTTAAGCTGTTTTTGCACTACAAGTAAGATATGTGCAGTATGCATAGGAATTCATTCATGTTTTTTTCAAATTATAATCCGGCCCTCCAACAGTTTGAGGGACTGAGACCTGGCCCTCTGTTTAAAAAGTTTGAGGACCCCTGCTGTACATGGAGCAGAGCTAAAAATAAGTGTCTTAGCTACTACCCCCACAATGGTCATAATAGAACGGAGTGCAAAGGCTCTTCCTCATACATTAGAAGAATATCTCTCTTCTTAGGAGGAAGGTTGAATTACCTATTCCTGGCTAACACGCTAGAAATTTCTGCAGTTGGTTTTGCTGACCATGCACAGATAAGACTGTGAAGAAGAGAAGGCTGAGAGGAGATATGATAGCCATGTATAAATATGTGAGAGGAAGTCATAGGGAGGAGGGAGCAAACTTGTTTTCTGCTGCCGTGGAGACTAGGACGCAGAACAATGGCTTCAAACTACAAGAAAGGTGATTCCATCTGAACATGAGGAAGAACTTCCTGACTGTGAGAGCTGTTCAGCAGTGGAACTCTCTGCCCTGGTAGAAGCTCCTTCTTTGGAAGCTTTTAAACAGAGGCTGGATGACCATCTGTCAGGGGTGCTTTGAATGCAATTTTCCTGCTTCTTGGCAGGGGGTTGGACAGGATGGCCCATGAGGTCTCTTCCAATTCTTTGATTCTATGATTCTATGTACTGAGTCCAAAGAATGAGAACTTCTTCACCCTGAAAAATATTTTAGAGAGTATTTCTGCTGTTTGCAGAAGACTGCACACAATGACACACAAAATACCTTCTAGCTTTGTGATATTTGTACAATGCATTAGAATGATACCTTCATCCGGACTGTGCCCTCTGGTTGAAGTCTTCCTATAAATTCTGAAATCAAACATAAAAAAATAAATATAAATATAGACTTGTCAAATTACTCAACAGCAAAAAATAAAATAAAAATAAAGGAACATAATTCATTTTAGAGCCTTCTCTGTCTTGTAAACAACCAAAACAGTCAAAGTCATGCTATCTGACTTAGTTCTAGAACAAGGTGGGTGAACACAAAGAAACACAATGATCTGGTATTTCAGACTTTAGCTACTAGAAGCAGATGATGGAATGCTATGGGTAAAAGCCCATACCACCATAATCTTTACCTCCCTCATCTACAGAATTGCCTGTCTAGACTATGCATCGTACAAACTCAAGGAACATTTGTTTTATCTGGAGTTCACAGCAATTACAAGGAATGTGAGCTGGGGAGAAATATGTGCACTACACACTCCTTCTTCACATCTTGGTTGCCGGATGTGAAGCTTTCTCCTTTAGGTGAAGTGGAAGTGTAGTAGACAAGGTGAAACTCACCTGCAAAGAAGTGAGTGATATATTTCTCACAGAAATGAGATCTCAAAACTACATCAATTTCCTAAGCACTGCCTGAACATCAAGCAAAAAGTGGGCGCTAGAAACAATATCATACGAAAGCTGACTGGCACAACCTGGCAATCACAACCAGACACAGTGAAGACATCTGCCCTTGCGCTGTGCTACTCTGCTGCTGAATACGCATGCCCAGTGTGGAACACATCTCACCACGCTAAAACAGTGGATGTGGCTCTTAATGAGACATGCCGCATTATCACGGGGTGTCTGCGCCCTACACCACTGAAGAAATTACACTGCTTAGCCGGCATTGCACCACCTGACATCTGTCAGGGAGTAGCAACCAATAGTGAAAGGACCAAGGCAGCGACATCTTCAGCTCATCCCGTTTGGGTATTGCCAACGACTTAAATCAAGAAATAGTTTTCTAAGTTCTATAGAGACACTGGCTGGAACACCTCAGCAAGCGAGAGTCCAAAAGTGGCAGGCTCAAACCCAGAACCTCAATCAATGGCTGACACCAAATGAGAGACTCCCCCCCCCCCTGGGCACACAGAAGACTGGGCGACTTGGAAGGCGCTGAACAGACTGCGCTCTGGCACCACGAGATGCAGAGCCAACCTTAAGAAATGGGGCTACAAAGTGGAATCCACGACATGCGAGTGTGGAGAGGAGCAAACCACAGACCACCTACTGCAAAGCAGCCTGAGCCCTGCCACATGCACAATGGAGGACCTTCTCACGGCAACACCAGAGGCACTCCAAGTGGCCAGCTACTGGTCAAAGGACATTTAATAGAATACCATGCTTGCAAACTTTGTGTTTTGTTTATTTGTTTGATTGTTTTTAATGCAATACAACTGTTTTGGTTCACTCCTGACGCGATAAATAAATAAATTTCCTAATTCTTCTTTGCTTCTTCATATGACATGGAAAATGGTATTAGAGATATAGAAAGGAAATCCGACTTTCCACTGCCTCACTTTTTGACACCCAGGAAAAGGTAAACTGTGCCAAAGACATCTGAGCAGTGGTAAATTTTCTTGCATGTTCACAATTTTCTACATGGTTATTAGGCCCATCAGAAAAAGAAATAAGAGGCATACCCTCTAAAATGGTGTTGCTGAAATGCTTCACCCACCTGCAGTACTGCACAAATGCAACCACCAGCGCGCCCAGATAAAAGGAGAAGAAGCTTAGAAAGCTGAAAAGGATGGCGTGCACATACACAGAACCTGGAAGAAGAAGAATAGATGTTTTTGTTCCATTATAAAAAATAATTAAATTTGTCCTGAAACTGAAAGGAGAGCCATGTATAATCCAAGGTATTTATCTGTCCTAGAACTGAAACAGACCAGGTATTGAGTGTATACAATGAGGTTCTGATTTTTTTTGTTCATGAAGACAAACTAAACTCATCTTTACTCATCCTAGTTGCAAGTAATAGGATTAGAGCAGGCATGATAGAATCCCTTTCCTCTCTTGTGCCCAAAAGGAAAAAAAAATCTCTTCTAAAAGTTTATATCTGCACTGGGAGGAAATCTCCCATTTTACCAACCAACAACTTCTCACCAAAGTAATTGAGGGGTGGGGACTTCAGCAAAGAAGTAACAGATCAAACTATCTTTTCATGCTGGTTAAAATTCCAATTATTATTATTATTATTATTATTATTATTATTATTATTATTATTATTTACAGCTTTTATATTTTGCCCTTCTCACCCCGCAGGGGACTCAGGGCGGATTACAGTGTACACATATATGGCAAACATTCAATGCCAATTTTTGACATAAAAACATATACAGACATACACATAGGCTATTTAACTTTTTCTGGGGAGCTGTCGCTTTCATCGTCCATCTGTGACCCTGATGAAGCACTTCCGCATTCCCCGCATGCTTCTCCGCTGGAATGCTTTGCTGGAGTCTTCTTTATGGCCTCATAAATCAGTTAATTTAGCCTCCCCACACTTTAAGGTGGTACCTAATTTCCTACTTGACAGATGCAACTGTCTTTCGGGTTGTAAAGGACGACAACAGGCTACACACAATTGGTTGGAAACCCACTCCAACCCGGGCTGGCTTCAAACTCATGACCTTTTGGTCAGAAAGATCTTAATGCAGCTGACACTCAGCCAGCTGCGCCACAACTATCTCCACAATTATCTCCAACCCCACCCAAAGAACTTGCATGTTGTTTAAAAAGGAATTTAACAATTTGTTTCATATCACAATTACTTGGCCTTTAAAATTAGCACAATTAGTTTACTTTATAGTGACCGCTTCTATAGATTACCATCTGGCAATCTGTCGGGGGTGCTTTGAATGCGATTTTCCTGCTTCTTGGCAGGGAGTTGGACTGGATGGTCCACGAGGTCTCTTCCAACTCTATGATTCTATTATTCTACCCTTCCCTAATAATAATAATAATAATAATAATAATAATAATAATAATAATAATAACGTTATTTATACCGCGCCACCATCTCCGCAAGGGGACTCGGGGCGGCTTACATGAGGCCAAGCCCAACAACACATCAGTAAAAAAGAAAAACAGCAAGCAAATAAAACAGTACAATTAATATAACTCACATATAAACAATAAGACAGAGATTTAAAACCTTATGAACAGGCCAGATATAATAAATTAATTTTTTTTAAATAAACACTGGGCATGAACAGAGGTAGGATGTATCTAAGCAAGAGGGTTTTAAAAGATAACATAGGGAGACCAACCCAACGGTAGTAAAGTGCTTCTGAGGACAACAGCAGAGAATTAATCAGAGCAGGGCACTGTTTCCTTATTCAGGGAAGGCACACTGGAACAGCAACATTTTCAGGCTCCTCCTAAAGACTGCCAATGTGGGGCTTGTCTGATATCCTTGGGAAGTGAGTTCCAGAGTTGGGGGGCCACCAGAGAAGGCCATCTCCCTTGTCCCCACCAATTGCGCCTGTGAAGGGGGCGGGAGCGAGAGCAGGGCCTCTCCAGATGATCAAAGAGATCGTGTGGGTTCGTACACAGAAATGCGGTCACGCAGGTAGGTGGGTCCCAAACCGTTCAGGGCTACTGAACTTTCTGATGCTAATTGTGAAAAGGTGTATAATTACTGCCAAGAACCTTTCACTGAAGGAACAATTGTCACTTCAAGGGTCTTCATCCTCTGGAGGTTCCAAGTATGATTAGCTATTCCTGTAAAAAGAGAAGCAGAATACATTTTAATTCAGCTCTTGGCCAATCAGAATTTAGGATTCACTTCAGCTGTACATGACAAACTAGCATGCTATACAATCCTTCATCACTCTGGAGATGTCTCCAATTTTGTTTATGAATGACGCTGGTCTGAAAGATGCACAAAAAGCAGGATGTAAAAAAAATAAGAGAAATTAGAAGGAAGTTCAAAATGTTTTCAACATGAGGGCCAACTTGCTTTTGGAAAAATCTGTTGTGGACCACATGTCAACTACACACCAGTCGTACCACAGACCTATTTATCCAGATCAGCTCTACAGTTGTGTATATTTTATGTAGATGGGCCAAAACTAACAAAATAAAGTTCAACAGTGACAAATGCAAGATACTCCACTTTGGCAGGAAAAACGAAATGCAAAGATAAAAAATGGGGGACAATGTCTGGCTCGAGAGCAGTACGTGTGAAAAAGATCTTGGACTCCTTGTGGACAACAAGTTAAACATGGGCCAACAATGTGATGTGGCGGCAAAGAAAGCCAATGGGATTTTGGCCTGCATCAATAGGAGCATAGAAGCATAGTGTCTAGATCTAGGGAAGTCATGCTACCCCTCTATTCTACCTTGGTTAGACCACACCTGGAATATTGTGTCCAATTCTGGGCACCACAATTCAAGAGAGATATTGACAAACTGGAATGTGTCCAGAGGAGAGCGATAAAAATGATCAAGGGTCTGGAGAACAAGCCCTATGAGGAGTGGCTTAAAGAGCTGGGCATGTTTAGCCTGAAGAAGAGAAGGCTGAGAGGAGATATGATAGCCATGTACAAATATGTGAGAGGGAGTCACAGGGAGGAGGGAGCAAGCTTGTTTTCTGCTTCCCTGGAGACTAGGACACGAAACAATGGCTTCAAACTACAAGAAAGGAGATTCCATCTGAAACTGAGGAAGAACTTCCTTACTGTGAGAGCCGTTCAGCAGTGGAACTCTCTGGGTTGGACTGGATGGCCCATGAGGTCTCTTCCAACTCTTTGATTCTATGATTTTATGATTCTATGTACATGCGGCCCGCTCACTGTTATTATGTTTGGTTTACTGTTTTTTTTTGGGGGGGGGGGTTGTTTTTTTAATGTGTTTTCTATATTGTTTATTGTATTCATATGTTTCGTACTTTATTGCCATGTTGTTTATTTTATTGTAACTTATATTTTATTTTATTGTAATTTGTTGTTTGGGCTTGGCCTCATGTAAGCCGCACCGAGTCCCCATTGGTGGAGATGGTGGCGGGGTATAAATAAAGATTATTATTATTATTATTATTATTATTATTATTATTATTATTATCACCAAGGAGAGAGGGAAACAGATTTGAATCTATGATCTGTCTCAAGGTTGAAGCACTTAGAAAACATAATAAGCTGAAAGTGGGGTATCCATAGTGTGGAAGCCAACTTAAAAGTGTCTGCGTAAGAATTACAGGGGAAAATGCGATGTCATTGTAGAGGTCTGCTACAGACCCCCAAGCCAAACTGAGTGATCTTAACTATAGTAATTTTATTTTATTGAGCTGTTTTGGCAGTTTAATTAGAATTGTGACCAGAGTGTCCTGGATAATAACTGATGGTGACGATGATAATGATGCTGTTTCATGTTATAAACTTATATTTACATTTCTTCGCCTACCCAAGCTTTTGGAGGTTTCCTCATCATGTTCCTGTTGATGTCTTACATTTTCTTCTGGTGAAAGAGATTTTTCTACCCTCAAATTGTCAATCTCATATTTGGTAATTCCTGCCACATATTATTTATAAGTTTCCCATGATGATGTCCAACTATGAACATTCTGTTTTATTTATGTGGCCCCCTCTTTGCTTCTTTGGGTTCCTGCTGCATTTGACCAAATTATATTTCCTATGTATTTACTGCATGTAATGTTGAACAGATAACAATCCATGAAGAGTATCAACCTTGCACGAACAATGTCCAAGACAGGGTGAATAGTCCCTTTGGCATTAGACATCTTACCTTTAATGGAGGATGGCATCGATCCCCCACAGGCATAGTCTTCTGGCTTTATAACAAACACAACAAAAAACTGCTTGCCTTGGAAGTCTTTTTTCTGCATAAGACAGAAAATAACATCTTTAAGGCTGTGTACTCCATGTAGATGTTAGATAACTCATTCTGCAAATCTACCTCATATTTATTTACGGCATTTGTATGCTGCCCTTCTCACCCTGAAGGGGACTCAGAGCGGCTTACAATATATATATTTTCATACAATATATTATATTATTAGCATAGTATAATATCAGTATTATATATTACTATATTGCACCATACCATTATATTGTAATATTATTAGTAAAACTAGCCATCCCTTGCCACGCGTTGCTGTGGCCCAGTCTGGTGATCTGGAAAATAAAGTAATGGTTTCTAATATATGTAATGTCTTTATGCTTGTGAGTAAACAGTATTTCTTGCTGTTTCTTTGCCAGTGTTGATGTGGAGAGTGTCTGGTTTGCCTACTCTGGAACATGCAACATATCATTGTCCTTCTTTAGGGGCCCCTTTCAAATCTATGATATTATATCTGTGTGTGTGTAAATCATATAGCTCTATCTCTATCTATGGCTAGATGGCTCTTTGTCAGGAGGGCTTTGATTAGATTTTCTTGCCCTGATGAAGAGAGTTGGACTGGATGGCCTTAAGTATGTTTTGTTGGTCATGGGGGTTCTGTGTGGGAAATTTGCCCCAATTCTGTCATTTATGGGGCTCAGAACGTTCTTTGATTGTAGGTGAACTATAAATCCCAGTAACTACAACTCCCAAATGTCGAGGTCTATTTTCTCCAAACTCCATCTGTGTTCATATTTGGGCATATGGAATATTTGTGCCAAGTTTGATCCAGATCCATCATTGTTTGAGTCCACAGTGCTCTCTGGATGTAGGTGAACTACAACTCCCAAACTCAAGGTCAATGCCCACCAAACCCTTCTAGTGTTTTCTGTTGGTCATGGGAGTCCTGTGTGTCACCTTTGGTTCAATTCCATCATTGATAGAGTTCAGAATGCTCTTTAATTGTAGATGAACTATAAATCCCAAGAACTACAACTCCCAAATGACAAAATAAAAAAAATGAGTGAAGGACATACATTGGGTTGTTTGGTGTCTTGTGTCCAAATTTGGTGTCAATTTGTCCAGTGGTTTTTGAGTTCTGTTAATCCCACAAACGAACACTAAATTTTTATTTATATAGATTACATGTAATGTAAACATATAATTATAATTATGATATTGTATTATTATTACTAGTATTATATTGTATTACATTATAATATTATATGTATATGCAATATACTATAGTATATTAATAGTAAAGACAAGATGGAAATGTCTTCTGCTCCCTTCTGTCATACTCCCAGGCATGAGAAGTTTAAAAGAAGTATTTACTTTGCTTGTTTCTCTGATTGCCCAAATGAGTCATTATGTGTTAATATTACCACAGTTCATTGCTTCCATAAGATTAACAAGTTATATATATACCATTACTATTTTGCCATTTAAAAAGGCTCTCTAGTTCATCCAAGTAGCCAATTACATATAATGAACTAGGAAATGTCTGTGAGAAATGCAAAACACACTATAAAGCAATCCTCCGGTAAATTATTTTTAATCCCTTCACATAGGCTGAATCCACATGCCTGTACCTCTCCTCCACTGTGCAGTATCCCCCTCTGAACATACTCTTACCAAGAAACCTGAACTAAACACGTCACTGAAAAATAGCATCATGAACAGCACCAGCAACTCACCTGTACTGTGATGGCTGCCTGTTTCGTCATGGACTGGTAAACTCCATTAAATTCCACATTATGGTCCAAATCATAAACTGGACACTGCAACAATTGGACAAGCTTATTAATTAATTACTTTACCTTCTTCAGTAATGTATTGTCGAAAGCTTTCATGGCCGGAATCACTGAGTTGTTGTAGGTTTTCCTGGCTATATGGCCATGGTCTAGAGGCATTTTCTCCTGACGTTTCGCCTGCATCTATGGCAAGCATCCTCAGAGGTAGTGAGGTCTGTTGGAAGGAACCCATTTTCCTACTTCCAACAGACCTCACTACCTCTGAGGATGCTTGCCATAGATGCAGGCGAAACGTCAGGAGAAAATGCCTCTAGAACATGGCCATATAGCCCGGAAAACCTACAACAACCCAGTTCTTCAGTAATGTTTATTTACACAAAGCCTCCATCAAATAACACTAAGTATCACAATTTTTGTCCCTGGGTTATAAAGGTCATTTCCTGATTGGATCTATCATAAAAACATGGAAAAGGTTTTATAAAGGTAAAGATTGTCCCCTGACATTAAGTCCAGTCATGTCTGACTCTGGGGTGTGGTGCTCATCTCCATTTCTAAGCCGAAGAGCCAGCGTTGTCCATAGACACCGCCAAGGTCATGTGGCCAGCATGACTACATGAAGTTTATTAAACTGCAAAAACTTTGTTTTGTAAATTTAATAATAATAATAATAATAATAATAATAGAATCATAGAATCATAGAATCATAGAATCAAAGATTTGGAAGAGACCTCATGGGCCATCCAGTCCAACCCCCTGCCAAGAAGCAGGAATATTGCATTCAAATCACCCCTGACAGATGGCCATCCAGCCTCTGTTTAAAAGCTTCCAAAGAAGGAGGCTCCACCACACTCCGAGGCAGAGAGTTCCACTGCTGAACGGCTCTCACAGTCAGGAAGTTCTTCCTCATGTTCAGATGGAATCTCCTCTCTTGTAGTTTGAAGCCATTGTTCCGCGTCCTAGTCTCCAGGGAAGCAGAAAACAAGCTTGCTCCCTCCTCCCTGTGGTTCCTCTCACATATTTATACATGGCGATCATATCTCCTCTCAGCCTTCTCTTCTTCAGGCTAAACATGCCCAGCTCTTTTAGCTGCTCCTCATAGGGCTTGTTCTCCAGACCCTTGATCATTTTAGTCGCCCTCTGGACACATTCCAGCTTAGGATTATTATTATTATTATTATCATCATCATCATCATTATTATCATCATTATTATCATTATCATTATTATTATTATTGCAAAGGCTGGATGACCCTTCCACTGAATTACTGTTAAGTTTATGTTGGTTAAAATTGTTCTTCTTTTTAAACATTGTCTTGTTCTTTCTATCGATCGATCGATCGTTTTGCACTACGAAAAAGACATATGCATTGTGCATAGGAATTTGTTCATTTTTTCTGTTAGTTCATACAAACATTCTCCATCCATCTGCCATCTGTTAAATTTTAAAATACAATGCGACCCTTGTGTCCAAAAGTTTCTTGGGCCGCCATGAGAAGCTTTTCCTTTAAAAAGGGTTCAGGGGTTTTAAAAGTTTGAGAACTCCTGTTCTTAACTATTAAGATCAATTTGGATTATGATTCTGTCCTCTGGCGCTTTAGCTATTCCCTTCCAGTTTGGTGTCATCTTCAAATCGGATAAGCATGCCTTCTATTCCACTATTCAAGTCATTAACAAATATGATAAATAGCACTGGGCCCAGGACTGAACCCTGTGACACTCTACTGGTCACTTTTCCACAGGATGAAGAGAAGCCATTGGTAATATCCTCTGGACTTGGCTGGATAGACAATTTGCAACCTACTTAATAGTAGCATTGTCTAGCCCACATTTTACTACCTTCTCCCAATTCATGTTCAACCAGGTGGCTGGAAGCCATAAGTCCTCTCCACCCCCTCAAAGCTTACCACAGTATCTTGGATGGAAACAACAGAGCAGGGGTAAACCATTTCGGACCTCACTTTTACAATGACAGAATCCACATCTGGAGGGAAGTGGTACAAAAAATACTATGGAAAGAAGAAAGAAATTTAAAATTATTTTTGTAAAGATATCTTTATCATAAGTGCAGAGTGAGATGTATGAAGAGAGACCAAGGGAGAGAAGTGTTTCAAAAGGGAAGTAGATTAATGACTCCAATCGGTCATCCACATTCAGAGATTTCACTTCCATGGTTTGAGTATTTGGCCTCCCAAAAGTGGGGGCATAAGGAATTATTCCTTCAACCATCTCCCAATGATGGAGAAGGTTCCCAAGCTACTCCCGCCATTGTGAGACCAGCTGTGGCAGGGCAGGCAATGGATCTCTCCCCCTGCCACCATCTCCTGGAGATGGGAGTGTCTTGGGAATGCTCCAAAAATGGTCCAACCCATCGCAGCAATGGATCCCTCCCACAATGCTGTCTTCTGAGGATGGCAGCATCTTTGGATCATTTTGGAGATGCCCCACCCAAAGTGCGAAAGTAGGGAAGGCTTTCTGAAGACGTAAACATTTACTAGGAAGGCTGTAAAAGTGGAAAAACTATGAATGAAAAACTGCTCAGAAGTTCTAGGTCCTTTGAAAATCAATCCTTGAGTCAGCCTCGAGGATTTAATGATTCCCAGAGAAACCCTATTAATAGTCAAATCCACAGCCCATTAATGCAGAGAGTTGACTGCAGAATATTTCAGTACTCTCAGTTGCTTTGCAGTCTGGCAAAGTTAGCTTAGTTAGTTTTAATTTTTTAATTTTAAGGCCCCTTTGAAAGCACGTGGGTATTTTTGGAGTTTATTTTATAGTGCCCAGCTGTTCTTCTCAATATATACTATATCTGCAAATGGCACAAAGGAACAAATTGCACCAATTAGTTGCCATAGCCACCAATTACTAGCATGATTTGCAAATGTCATGAGCCATGTGAACAGAACCGATATAGTTTGTTGTATACAAGTTTTTTATTTGTCTGCTGATTCATTCTACATATTGAGCTAGGTAGCCAGAAAGCTTCACCTGTACTTTTTAAAAATGGGATCTAAAAAAAGCCTTGCAGCTCCTTCAGCTGCATCTAATGTCTCAGATATCCCATGCCAGCCTGAATTATTCGCCCGCTTCTTTTTGCATCTGAATTCACCCCTCTGCCATCTGTCAAGTCCTTTGGCCTGTGAAAAAGGCTTGGGAGTGGAGGTGCTGGGAGCAAGGATGTGCTCATTCTTCCTAATACAGGGAGGTTTTGAGGCAACAATACCTCGATGCATCAGCAAGCAAGGGGCTGGGAAGCAAAGACACAGTGATCCATCATGAAAAACATATTCCATAGTAGGCTAACCTCGGAGTAAGTAAAATAAAATAAATAATACATGTAGCCAAAAGTATTCTTACCTGCGGTTGTGAAGGGCTGGCACTGAATGTAAATGCACTGTTTGTTCTGTAAAAGAGGAAAAATGCACCAGAATTCATAAAATGAGGGCAGGCAGCAATGTTTTGAAGGTGCTTGAAAAATGTGTACCCACAGTTTCCTTCATCTTTCAAATTACCTATACTCAAATGAACCCAGGAGTTCTGATTCATTAAAGTTGCTGCAACCACCTCCATATTTCTGTGTAAGCATCTTTATCGAATGCCCAGAAAAGATTGTATCAGTGAAAAACATGAAAGTCTACACAGAATCATAGAATCATAGAATCAAAGAGTTGGAAGAGACCTCATGGGCCATCCAGTCCAACCCCCTGCCAAGAAGCAGGAATATTGCATTCAAATCACCCCTGACAGATGGCCATCCAGCCTCTGTTTAAAAGCTTCCAAAGAAGAGCCTCCACCACACTCCGGGGCAGAGAGTTCCACTGCTGAACGGCTCTCACAGTCAGGAAGTTCTTCCTCATGTTCAGATGGAATCTCCTTTCTTGTAGTTTGAAGCCATTGTTCCGCGTCCTAGGCTCCAGGGAAGCAGAAAACAAGCTTGCTCCCTCCTCCCTGTGGCTTCCTCTCACATATTTATACATGGCTATCATATCTCCTCTCAGCCTTCTCTTCTTCAGGCTAAACATGCCCAGCTCCTTAAGCCGCTCCTCATAGGGCTTGTTCTCCAGACCCTTGATCATTTTAGTCGCCCTCCTCTGGACACATTCCAGCTTGTCAATATCTCTCTTGAATTGTGGTGCCAGGAATTGGACACAGTATTCTAGGTGTGGTCTAACCAAAGTAGAATAGAGCATGGGTATCATGACTTCCCTAGATCTAGACACTATGCTCCTACTGATGCAGGCCAAAATCCCATTGGCTTTTTTTGCCACCACATCACATTGTTGGCTCATGTTTAACTTGTTGTCCACGAGGACTCCAAGATCTTTTTCACACGTACTGCTCTCGAGCCAGGCATTGTCCCCCATTCTGTATCTTTGCATTTCGTTTTTCCTGCCAAAGTGAAGTATCTTGCATTTGTCACTGTTGAACTTCATTTTGTTAGTTTTGGCCCATCTCTCTAATCTGTCAAGATCGTTTTGAATTCTGCTCCTGTCCTCTGGAGTATTGGAATCTGAATAGCTATCACATTTTACTGGGGTGTTTGTTGACTGGCGTGTTTGGATTGCTTCTAAAGGCCCTTCCAGACAGGTCTTTAATGAGTGGAACTCTCTGCCCCAGAGTGTGGTGGAGGCTCCTTCTTTGGAAGCTTTTAAACAGAGGCTGGATGGCCATCTGTCAAGGGTGATTTGAATGCAACATTCCTGCTTCTTGGCAGGGGGTTAGACTGGATGGCCCATGAGGTCTCTTCCAACTCTATGATTCTATGATTCCATGAGAGACCTGCCTTGTGTTTACCAAACAATGTCTCCAGTAAAAGCACATTCAGTAAAGGTAAAGGTTTCCCCCTGACATTAAGTCCAGTCATGTCTGACTCTGGGGAGTGCTGCTTATCTCCATTTCTAAGTCGAAGAGCCAGCATTGTCCGTAGACGCCTCCAAGGTCAGGTGGCTAGCAAGACTGCATGGAGCATCATTACCTTCCCACCGGAGCGGTACCGATAAATCTACTCACATTTGCATGTTTTGAACTGCCAGGTTCGCAGAAGCTGCGCCTAACAGCGGGAGCTTACGTCGCTCCCTGGATTCAAATCTGCGACCTTTTGATCAGCAAGTTCAGTAGCTCAGCAGTTTAACTCACTGCCATTAATGTGGAGCAAATCAGGTTTTACAAGTTTATGCCGCATTAATTAAACGCCTCAACAAATCCAGGCCTTACTGAAAGTCCCAGGTTTCTTGAGATGCTGGGCTTGTGGGGACTGACTCCTGAGACTGCTTCAATAGTCCCAGGGGTTGGTCCCCATAGCCACCCCACTTCTTTGGGCTCTGAAAAGCCAGGATGGATAGCATCCCGGATCAACCTTTGGTTAATCTGATATGTCATGTAGCCACCCTCAAGGGAAAGCCTGGGGTTTGGGTTGGAGGTGGGCACACCAAACCAAGCGAAGCGGATTGTTTTAACCCATTTATCCTTGTTTTTTCTTTAGGTCTGGAAGCGCCCTAAGAGATCAATTGTTATTGTGCCAAAGGACATTGCTCTGATTAAGGGGTGCACTTTAACTGTTGTTGCTACCAAATTATGCATAAAGGTGACAAATTGGCCATTACTAAGAAGACTATCATACAAGGCTTGAAGTGCAAGTTAAGAGCTCTCTAACCAGAACTGTTCACAATTACACGGTTTTTCAATAAACAGGGAATTCCTGTTTTTAGAGTCTAGAAAACACTTCAAAAATGTGTTTATAGATTGTTGAAGTGGTGTGGTAACTACAAAACAAAAACAATTACATCAAGTAACTATGCAGTTTTGTGGGTCATTCAAGCAATGATAGGAATTTCTCTTCTTGATTAAGTATTTCCTTATTGTTTGCAATACTTCCTTTGCCCATCTTGTTCCTGCATGCCTGTGCAGCAATAAACAAGGACTGCCAGTCAAAAGTTAACCTCCCCCTTGTAGAATATAAAAAATAGAAAAAGGTTGGGAATTTCAAATGCATCCTCACTTTTAAATTAATATTTTAAATGTATAAGGGGACAGTGTTTGTGAATTTTGAAAATACGTAAATAACTAATTGTGCATCTCTGAACTTGCATAGAGATAAAGTCCCAGTCTCAGGATGTTCTGAACTCTTGGAATTGTGAAATTATTCCCATTTTTTTTAAAAAAGGGCAACATGGATGAAGAGGGGCAATCAATAGTTTGGTAAAAATTATATCTCCGCAACTATGGTCTACCCCCCTGTTTAAGGAGCCCCACTGGCTGCCATTTATTTTCCGGTCCCAATTCAAGGTGCAGGTTATCACTTATAAAGCCCTAAACGGTTTGAGACCCGCCTACCTTCGTGACCATATCTCCCTTCATGAACCAACCCGGGCCCTCCAATCTTCTGGGGAGGTCCTTCTTTTGCCCTTGCTAGTTTCACAAGCTCGCCTTGTAAGTACAAGGGAGAGAGCTTTTTCCTCTGTGCCCCCCCGACTCTGGAACTCATTACTTGGAGAGATTAGGAAAGCCCCTACCCTAGAAACGTTTAAAAAGAACCTTAAAACCCGGCTCTTCCACTGTGCCTTTGGTGAATAGGTACACAACCTCACACTATTGCTCAGCCTCAACATTCTGTCATTGGAGTATACGTGTGTGTCCCCCACTTGTGGGAAAGCTTGATTCCACAACCCCCGCTATAATGAGCCCTCCTCCGCAAATAACCTGCTTCTCCTTTATCTCACCCGAGTTTTTAATTAGTTTTTAATTAGTTTTTCTTTTAATCATTACATGTAGCCTGCCCATTGTCACTGTGATTGTGCTTATTGTAATTTTATATTGTTATGTATTCACATGTTTTATGTAATTATGATGTTGTTGTTTATTTTTTGTGTTTTCGGTTTGCGTTTTCGGTTTTACTCTGTTGTAATTTGTTGTTTGGACTTGGCCTCATGTAAGCCGCCCTGAGTCCCCATCGGGGTATAAATAAAATACCCCCATGTCGGGGTATAAATAAAATTTATTTATTATTTAATATGGTAAGCTAAAAGTGCTTTCACCATGCAAGAGCAGCCTGGACTGATTTAATCTTTTCTCCATGTAACCTAAGGTGATGATCACAATTAAAACTTACATACAGTCAAAAACATTTCAGATAACTATTCATTCATTCATTCATTCATTCACCTCTCACCTCTGTAGGGAGACTCAAAGCGGCTTACAACTCCGGCAAGATTCAATGCCATTTAAAACATAACTATAAAACATGTCCTGTCAACTAAAACAATTAAAACAGTCAAGCAAATAAAACACATAGACTAATAACAGATTAAAAACATAGAAAGTGCATGGTACCATTCATCCATAAAATGCTGACCACTCACCCAAGCTGGAAGTTCTTGATCCTGGTGACTTGCAGGACATAGTGAGCATTATAGGGGGCCATGGAAGCCACATCTACATATAAGATCTGCTCTGAAGGCCCATTGTCAACTGTGGGCTCTGATGGGCAAAGCGTACGGCTTACTTCTGCATAATTATAACTTCTTTGGTACCTGCAAATAAAAGCCAAAAAAATTAGACCAAGGAACATGCCAATTGCAGCACGTTCTAGAGCAGGCATGGCAACTTCAATGGGCCTGAGGAACAGTTTTCTGCTTCTGGACTCTTTGGGGCTGCACATACTGCCAAATGTTCCCTCTGCAGATGCTGAAAAGTCTAGTTCTGGCTTTTAAAAAGTTTTTTTATGTCCAACAGGTCAAAAGCAGCAATAAATTATGCTGGTCCAAAGTTGCACTTTGCCCACCAGTGTCCAGAAATGCCGTCATGTTGATCCAGATTCAAGTTACCGCTAAGAGTCCTTCAATGTTAACAGAAGTTTTATAACTCACTTCATGAGCTGCATTAAGTGTAATCCAAAATTTCAGAAATATATACAATATTTCTGTCCAATGGTAGGATTGTGTACTGAGAAATAAAAGGAAATTAAATGCAGAAAGTACAAGTGATCATTATATTATTCAAACTAGTCAATTACAAAACTGTAACTTATAATACAAACAACTTCAAGAGGTAAACCCACTAAAACATGTACGATGGTAAGAATCCATTAACCTCTAGCACAGTGGTTCTCAACCTATGGGTCCCCAGATGTTTTGGCCTTCAACTCCCAGAAATCCCAACAGCTGGTAAACTGGCTGGGATTTCTGGGAGTTGTAGGCCAAAATACCTGGGGACCCACAGGTTGAGAACCACTCTAGCTGGGACATCCAAATGAAATACAGTTCAGCAATGGGACATCCAAATGAAATACAGTTCAGCAATTCTTCCTGCATGTCTCTCCCTCTCTTGCTATCTCATCCCCACCCATTGAGCCCCGGGTTGCGCAGTGGGTTAAGCCCCTGTGCCGGCAGGACTGAAGACCGACAGGTCGCAGGTTCAAATCCGGGGAGAGGCGGATGAGCTCCCTCTATCAGCTCCAGCTCCTCATGTGGGGACATGAGAGGAGCCTCCCACAAGGATGATAAAACATCAAAATCATCCGGGTGTCCCCTGGGCAACGTTCTTGCAGACGGCCAATTCTCTCATAACAGGATTCTCCTGACATGACAACACTCTGTAACCAGAGTGTAACCAGAGTATGGACCACCATGGCCAAGTCAGACTTCCCAAGGTACAGGCACAACTGGCACACAAGCTTTAACTGTGCAAAAGCTCTCCTGGCCACCGCCGAGACCTGGGGAATAAATGGGGTTACACTTCCCCTGAAGACACAGGTTCGCAGCTTGGGAGTGATCCTGGATTCATCGCTGAGCCCCAGTGTATGAGGCATATAGTGTCAAACATCTCAAGGGGGATAATGGCAGCGGGACTACACCTACTTACAGGCCACGAAACACCAGTGGGACCTGCCAGGACAGTACTCCCTTCTGCTGCCGAACTACAAACAAGACCGGATATTGCAGATCTTCAGAATCACTCTTTACATTAACCCGGATGGCATCCACCTGTGGGGAGAGAGTTGTAGTAAATTAATTGAAATTCTACATTATTCCGCTCCATTCAAAAGATCACTTCCTCTTCTCTGTGTGTCTCATATTTCTAATGCCTTTAATGAATCATCAGACCAAGTTTTGCCAGTTCCTTCCTTTACCTGTTAGCTATACTTGCTTAATAATATGAAAGGCAGGGCTTAATTCAATCAGTACAACTATATGATGCAAAACTGTGTCCCAAAAAACATTTATGAGGACATGACAAAGAACACTTCACCTGCTGTTCCTAAACTGAACATCCTTTGCCTTCAGCCTATTTTCTTCTGTTCATAATTATATAAAAAAAAATTAAACAGAATTATCTATTGACCATCAACTGCCAACTTCCAAAGTGATGTTGCTGTAGAAGCAAACCATGAATTCTGAGATCTTTCATCTGGCTAGTTTTCTGTCTAATCACATAAGAGTCCTGTGGATAAATCTTGTCAGTCTCCAATTGACTTTATATGGAACTTATAAAAATACAGCAAGGGCTTCAATCATTTTAGCATTCAATCATTTTTTTTGGCCAACCCTAAAGTGGCTGCCGCCACGTGGCCAGGCAGCTCAATGGGCATAGTAAGATGGCTGCCACTGCATGGCCAGTTCGGCGCCACCTTCACGAACCCTTAGAGCCGTTTTTCTTATTATTATTATTATTTTAAACTATTATACTAGAGCTATGTAACAGGGAGAGGGGATGAGAGAGGGCTTGAGGGGCCTGCCTGCCTGCCAACGGCCGCCACTCAACAGGCCCACTACCCAACACCGGCCCAACCCACCTCCCAATAGAGGCCTACACACAGGAAGGCCAAATAGAGGCCTCCAGTATTTATGGAGAAGACAAGATGGCTGCACTAAAAATGGCCACCGCCACACTGCCTGTAGTCTTTTGGGTGAAGACAAGAAGGCTGCACTAAAAATGGCCGCCGCCACACAGCCTGTAGTCTTTTAGGTGAAGATAAGAAGGCTGCACTAAAAATGGCCGCCGCCACATAGCCTGCAGTATTTACGGAGAAGACCACCTCATAGCCAGCCTATTCAATGTTTAGGGCAGCCAACCCCAAAATGGCTGCCGCCACGTGGCAGGCCCGCAGTTAGAAGGGAGGAGCAACAAAATACAAATAGGTTTTGCCCCTGTGAAGCCATGTATGGAGCCAGTTAGAACAATAAATGGAGGATATCCATACAGGAGTGTCAGTGCACCCAGAAATTCCTCCTTATTATGTTTTTATTTGTCTGTAGTCTCCTCCAACTTCTGACATTTATATTCCAGTTTCTCTGGTTTTTGGTGCACCTGACGTAGCCCCTCTTCAGCTTCCAGAATGCTCTTGAATTGTAGTGAACTATAAATCCCAGTAACTACAAATCCCAAATGTCAAGGTCTATTTCCTCCAAACTCCATCTGTGTTCATATTTGGGCATATGGAATTTTTGTGTCAAGTTTGGTCCAGATCCATCATTGCTTCAGTCCACAGTGCTCTCTGGATGTAGGTGAACTACAACTCCCAAACTCAAGGTCAATCCCCACCAAACCCTTCCAGTGTGTTCTGTTGGTCATGGAAGTCCTGTATGGGAGTTTTGTCAATTCCATCATTGGTGGAGTTCAGAATGCTCTTTGATTGTAGGTGAACTATAAATCCCAGTAACTAAAAATCCCAAATGTCAAGGTCTATTTCCTCCAAACTCCATCTGTGTTCATATTTGGGCATATGGAATATTTGTGCCAAGTTTGGTCCAGATCCATCATTGTTTGAGTCCACAGTGCTCTCTGGATGTAGGTGAACTACAACAAACTCAAGGTCAATATCCACCAAACCTTTCCAGTTTTTTCTGTTGGTCATGGGAGCCCTGTGTGCTAAGTTTGGCCCAATTCCATCATTGGTGGAGTTCAGAATGCTCTTTGATTGTAGGTAAACTATAAATCCCAGCAACGACAATTCCCAAATGACAAAATCAATTTTTTTGAGTGAAGGACATACATTGGGTTGTTAGGTGTATTGTGTCCAAAACTGGTTTTTACTTTGTTGTTGTTTATTCATTCAGTCACTTCCGACTCTTCGTGACCTCATGGACCAGCCCACATCAGAGCTCCCTGTCGGCCATCACTACCCCCAGCTCCTTCAGAGTCAAGCCAGTCACTTCAAGGATACCATCCATCCATCTCACCCTTTCTTTTTCCATCCATTTCCCCCAGCATCATTGTCTTCTCTAAGCTTTCCTGTCTTCTCATGATGTGGCCAAAGTACTTCATCTTTGCCTCTAATATCCTTCTCTCCATTGAGTAGTCGGGCTTTATTTCCTGAAGTATGGACTGGTTGGATCAATATACATATCATTTAAAAATATTATACCACAGGGGTCTAGTCTCTCTATGTATCTGTGTTACTTTTAAAAATAAGCTTTATGAGTGTTACAGGCTCTGTACTGAGATGGGAATGGGTAAGTTTGTGATATTACGTATCCAACTGCTTGTGTGTGAGCAGCGTCTACTGCAAACCTGGAAAATCTGGTTTTTTCTTTCCTCACTTCTGTTGAAAAATCTGTTCAAGTTGGAAACCATTATTGCATAATGGCACCACCCCTCAAATAAACAGACAACATAGATTTCTTTTCTCAAAAAAATAAATCTATGCTGGAGATTTGACATTTATTGGGGCTCCACAGCTGAAAAAGTTTGAGAACCACTGCATTAGAGGAAATCCAGAATATAAATGTAACACATATTTTGGCCAGTTTAATTGCAATTGTACTTCTGCTACTAGAGAGGCAGGGACTGAAATTTTTCCAATGCCCTTCAGTATTGATTGTCACCATAAAATGTTCAGTTGATAGCTACAAATCTATATAAATAAAAATGTAATGTTGGTTTGTGGTATTCACAGACCTCAAAAACCCCTGGATAAATGACACCAAATTTGGACATGATACACTTAACAACCCAATGTATGTCCTTCACTCAAAAAAATTGAGCTTGTCATTTAGGAGTTATAGTTGCTGGGATTTATAGTTCACCTACAATCAAAGAGCATTCTGAACTCCACCAATGATGGAATTGAACCAATCTTGGCAGATAGGACTCCTGTGACCAACAGAAGACACTAAAAGGGTTTGGTGGACATTGACCTTGAGTTTGGGAGTTGTAGTTCACCTACATCTAGAGAGCACTGAACAATGATGATCTGGACCAAACTTGGCACGAATATTCCATATGCCCAAATATGAACACAGATGGAGTTTAGGGGGGAAAGACCTTGACATTTGGGAATTGTAGTTACTGGGATTTATAGTTCACCTACAATCAAAGAGCATGCTGAACCCCACCAACGACAGAATTGGGGCAAACATTCCACACAGAAACACCATACTTAAGGCCATCCAGTTCAACTCCCTTCACCAGGTCAAGAAAACATCATCAGAGCCCTCCTGACAAAGAGCCATCCAGCCATAGATATAGATAGATATATGATTCACACACATACACTGATATAGTATAGATTTGAAAGGGACCCCTAAAGAAGGACAATGATATGTTGTATGTTCCAGAGTGGGCAAACCAGACACTCTCCACATCAACAGTGACACAGAAACAACAAGGAATACTGTTTACCAACAAGCATAAAGGAATTACATATATTAGAAACCATTACTTTATTTTCCAGATCACCAGATTGGGCCACAGCAACATGTGGCAGGGGACGGCTAGTCATTTATAAATATTAACACAAATTATTAGGGTATACATGAAGATTCATGAGTCAAAATGCCAGACAAGATGGCCCGTACGTTAATATATATACTATATCAAACCAATTATCCCAGCAGAACTCACACGTTACTATGTAACTGGTAGATGCATATTTTTTTCTGATTAGCACTGTTAATGAATTAATGCCTTTGGTCACAAAAATGATCCTTTAATGACAATAAGTTGTTGGTTCTTAATTGCCTTGTTAATTTGTACAAAAATGCATTACTCCGCTTTAAATATTTTTATTGATTTGATTGATTTAAAAAAAAAACCAGTGAGTGGTCATGAGTAAAGGAGGGAACTTTAAGCATCTCACCCACGTGTACATACACAAAGGAGGGAAACATTAAAAATAAACTGTTTATTTCTCCTTGGGACCATTGTCTGTTCCCCATCTCACCTTCCCTCTTCCTGTCCATTGCTCCCTCCCCCATCACTTGGGTGGGAATGCAATTGGACAGGGAACCAAGAAGGATGATATTTGCACTTGCTCACTCAGTCACCCACTCACTCACACACACATAGTACTAAGTTTTACCACATAATAGTCATTATCACTTTGTCTGGCATGGAGACCTTGTGGCCGCTTAGTGGGCCTATCTTCGATCAATTTACACCGCTTGACACGGAAGATGTCACCAGAATTCTGGCTACTGCAAAAGCAACCACCTGTTCTCTTGATCCGTGCCCCTCTTGGCTGATCAAGAGCTGCTTGGAAGGTCTACTCGATCCGTTGTGCAGTATAATCAATGGCTCTCTTGAACAGGGTTTTTTTCCGGACAACCTAAAAGAGGCAAGGGTTCGTCCCTTGTTAAAGAAACCTAGCTTGGATCCTATGACCCTTGCCAATTACCGTCCTGTTTCTAATCTGCCATTCTTAGGTAAGGTGATAGAGCAGGCTGTACTGGGACAATTGCAACAATTCCTGGATGACACAGCTGGCCTGGCCCCGGGCCATGGGATGGAGACAGTCCTGGTTGCCATTACGGATGAACTCCATCGCCAGTCTGACAATGGTGGATCCGCGCTACTGGTACTTCTCTACTTTACCGCAGCGTTTGACACCATCGACTACGATCTAATGATTCACCGTCTTGCCATGTCCGGAGTTTGCAGTCAGGCCCTTAATTGGTTCAACTCATTTCTCCGGAACCGGAGTCAACGCGTGGAGTACATGGATCAAGTCTCCGATAGATCCCCCCTCCTATGTGGGGTCCCCCAA